GTGGCTTGTCATTAAGTCTGAACACAGCCACAGTGTACCCTAGATTGTACTAGAGATTGGTTTCAACATTCTCTATCATGAATGTGACTAGAGTATATAGGAATCAATGTTCTGAAAGCACTGGTTTACAATGTGTATTATAAAGTGAATTTGGCATTCTTCCAAGCCAAATTCAAAAGTGAAATCTGAAAACACAATTGAATCTGAAACAATATTGCTAAATTCAGAAATTTTGTGAAATGCCTTGTTTAATATTATCATATAACACTACTGAAAGAAAGCAATGGGCATGGCCCCTACTCCTTCTGTTCTTCCTCTCTTAGCCCATTCCTTCTTTCATCCGCCATTTCATTAAATCAATGTATATAGTGTTTGCTATACCAAAAGATATATCCAAGTGTTTTGCAACATCAGAAGTTAAAATACATCATAGTAAATTCATACATATGAAATACATCATTTTAACAGTGCATCAGATTCCCTAAGAGGAATCCAAAATCTAGGCAGTGGTGTTAATTCATATCAAAAAACCAATTCTAGCGGTTTTCTTCTCCACCAGAAGCAGTTCCTTTAGAAAGTGAATGAGTCCAAATTGCCCAATCAAGACCAAGCCACCTGCTAAACACTTTGTATTACAGCAGGGAACAATAGATTTTTCTAGGAAAATCAATTTCCTCCTCAATGAGGACTGAAACTAAACTCAAAAGGAACAAGGAGATCTGAGATGGGAGACAGACCCTGTTAGCTCTGACTCCATGATAACACTGAGGAACATACATTGTTAGATTACTACAGATTATCTACTCCCCTTTATCAAGTCAGGGCAACCCACGCTGCTAACCATTAAAAAAAGATGTATATGGATTTCCTTGATGGGATTAATTTACTTTGTTGTTGTTTTTACAAATGAATACTGCATTCCCTACTAATAATCTTATGTTCGCATTTCTGTGCACTGTGCAAAGCAGAAATGAGTGGTTTAGAGCAGAATCAGACAGTTCAAAGAGCATGCTAAAAATTTCTTCTTTCATTTTACAAATGAAAGTCCTCACAGTCCTCTTGATCTCACCTTGGAGAGGAAGTCTTGAGGTTGTGATCAATATCCTATACCCCAGGAACACCCCTTTGCAGGAAAAAGCAGCTTCAGTGGGATTTTAGTTGGAGAATTCACACAGGAAAGATATCTCCTCCAATCCCCACAAACACATCCTTGAACCAAATCTTCCAGCCCTGTAGCTCCATTTTAAGAATGAATGAAATGTTCTAATTGCAGGACTGCCACCTAACATGTTGTTTCACCACCAGTTAACTGCTGTTGTCTGGATACCAGTTTTCTGTTCATGGGTCTTTCAATATACATTCCTGCTGTGTTCACTCTTCCCCTACTTTCTGATGTCTTGTAAATCTGCTTTCGTCTTTTCATTCTTCTGTATCTCCATCAGATCTCTCCACAGCTCTTAACTTCCTCAATTTTCACCAACTGACCTTTTTCCTCTGCTCTTCCCAAAGTGACTAGTGCAATGCACACCATAACAATGGTACTCCAAATCATCATCCATCCAGGAAAAAACGTAGGTGATGAAAACATTGCTGGTGCTGTATCTTTGGGAAAAGCAGACATATGCAACATTTTCAAAACACAGTGATCTACACACACACACACATAAAGGGTGCTTTCAGATGGAGGTGTTCTAGCACTAACAATTCAAAGGTCACCTTTCTTAAAAGATTAACAAGACAAGACAGAAGAAGCAGTGGGAAATTCTAGGCAGGTTATGAGTTGAAGAGCCTGACCTGGTGTGCATGAGCAGCACAACTCAATGTAGGTTATTTAAGCCATTGTGAGCCATGACGCCAGTGAACACCAGGTTGCCTATTTAGGCCTCAGCCACAGCATGTCCCAGCACTCAAAATCAAGTGGCAATGGTTTTCTGAAGGCTATTTGACCTGTTGTAAGGTTATTTGAGGTTTGTTTAACCCTCATTAACAGCTATTGCTGTCTGGGTTTGGCCAATGTAACAAATCATGGCAATCCTCCACCAATCATGGCCTAAATACTCAAAATGGGTGTCTGCCCATACCACAACACACCATGACTTATTTATAACAGGGCTGCAACAGTTGTACAACCAAGTTGTGACTGAAACCCTCATGAAAGGCAGTGAATGAGGTAAGGCAATGGTACCATCACAGCCTTATCTGGAAGCACCTTTTGCCCCATCCCTCTAGAGTAGCCTTCCCCAAACTGGTATGAAACATTTTTGACTTTAACTCCCAATAATCCTTGCTAGCTTGGCCAAATAGTTCAAACCTTCTGGAGGACAGCAGGTTGGAGAAGGTGATCAAAAGATTCCCTTCCTCAATAGACCTCTTCAGTTTTCCATCTTCATCAACATTTTTGGATATTTATTTCATTTTTATACTATCGAATAGCCGAGGGTCTCATATACTTTGAACTTCTGCTTTTCTCAAACTCTGTTTATGGGTGGACTTGAATAGGCTAATTTGCATAACATCTTACATATTCTTATGGATTTCCTGTCAGGTTTCTTTAAGGAGGACTACAGGTTTTCCTGAGGCAAATACTTGGATTTGAGTCAACAGCCAGGTTCTGTGTGACTAATTGTTAGTCCATTTCTCTCAGCCTTTCTGAATAAAGGTGAACAACCAGTTCCAAAAGGGCTGGACCTCCCCTACTCCTGCTGTCTAAAGATGGTGTAGGATCTATTTACCAGGGTGAAAGAGGGAACTGAGCTGGGGTTCTAGCAGCCTCTTAGGAGGCTGGCTGTCTCCTTAAACACAGTTGTGGACCTTGGCTGTCTGTTGAAGTGTTTAAGGTGGGGCTCCTCCTATGGCAGTCTTCCCCAACCATCTGGGGATGATGAGAGTTGCAGTCCATTGCATCTAAGGAATACCAGGTTGAGGAAGGCTGATCTATGCTCAACCTACATAACTAAATAAATGCAAACATTAGAGAACACCAATATGTTTCCAGTTTCCTCTTTCTAAAGGGAACCAAACTGGGTTGTATGTTCTGCTTCTGAAATATCTCATCACTCAGGCCAGTGATATGAGAAAGAATAGATTTCACCTCCACAGAGGGAGTGTTTCCTGCCCAGGGAATGCCCCAATTGTAACACTGGTAATTCATGGTGCTTCAGGACTCAGATCTATGAGCTTCCAGCTCCTGACAGGGGCAAAACAGAGAAGGAGGAAACTACCGTGTGAGGTAGGTTGGGCTGAGCATCTGTGTCTGCCCCAAAGTCACCAGTGAACTCCATGACTGAGTGGAGACTAGAACCCAGATCTCCTAAGTCCCAGTGTCACACTCTTAAGCAGTTCACCACACTAGCTTATGTGTTCTTTCGATGGTACTGATGCAGAGAAAGCATCTGCTGCCATTGTTCCTCCTAGCTTGTTCCTTCCCTGGCCCTTTTGATCCCCCTGGTTCATAAGATAAGGATGTGCAGTGGGAACGAGAAATGGCAGAAGGTGTCATGGTGGGCTAGACAACTTTTCTCCCTAATATGTTAGCCATTTTACTAGTGGCATTCTTTTTTCAATGGAGGAAAGCATTCAAAAACAAAACTCTTAGAGTACTACAGTCTATTCTGAATCTGCAGTTTCTTTCTTATCTATTCTGTTGCATATGTGCACATAGGTGGAATGGAGGAAGTAGCCACCTGAGCATGTGCAAAATGTGTTCCCTTTTTCACCATGGGCAGCAAAGTTAAGACCAACCTAATAAGCTAATTCAAAAGCTTATTTCTGATTTACAGTCTCGGAGCACAATCCTATGCATGTTTAGACAGGCAAAATCTCCATGATTTACAGCATTCCCAAGCCATCTTGCTAATAGCCAAATCTGGACAGCCCTTCAATCCATCTACCTATTTTTTCCACCACATTCCTGTCTGCCTATCTCTCTTACCCTTTGAATGGATCATTCTCCCTGCAATATATAAGCCCTTTTACTTTAGGATTCCCAGGAGTTTCCCCTTAGATGCCCTGGGATTCTGTGTTTCACAGTATCCTATATTTGATAAGTCCATCCTTCCCCTTGACTGACCAATGGCTGCTTTCCTCTGCATATCAATCATCAACAAAGAGGCAGTTCCTCAGGCAGTGACCTGCAGTGCCCTCTTTGGCAGCTTCAGAGCGGTCTGTTCCGGAGTTCAGGCAAGCACAGATGCCCGAGGACATCTAGGAACACACGTGCTCTAGCTGGTTTGTAATCATGTCGATCAGCCTTCCCTGACCTGGCACCCTTCATTTGTGTCAGACTACAACTCGTATCATCTCCATCCTGCATCTGAAGGGGATCAAGCTGTGGGAGGCTGATGCATGTTCACATGTGTTACACATGTGTGTTTGAGCCCTATGGAAATCACATGTCTTCCCTTAAGTGGATCATATTGCAGGGTTAGGGGTTCAAGGCCAGGGAACTTAGCAGCCCCGTGCTTCTAAATTGTGAGGTATTGGGGCATAAATTTAAAAATATCCTCTTCCTGAGGGGTGCCAATGAAGCTTCTGAAGGAGATTCACTGATGTGAAAAATGACTGGCTCTGAGGATCAGAGGGGAATAGGGAGGTGGCTAGGAAGTAAGCTAGGCAACCAGAAGAGACTTGCTACCTTTTCTTCTGTACCACACCTACCAACTGCATGATAGACAGAGATTTACCAGATCTAACACAAAGAGCTACTGCAATATCTGTGTGTCCCAGGGATAATACCGAGAAACGTATGCCCCTCCCCTCCACAATTTTCCAGCTACCTCCTTTACTTGCTCCCGCGGCATTCACTAATGTTGCATTAGTGTCTTCCATAGCTTGTTCCTCCAGCAGTGATGAGTCTTGCCACTTATCTGCCCTTCCATACTAGATTTTCTGGAGCATTTATGCACACACATCAGCCAGCTGTTGTAACATCTGCACTTACAATGAGCCATTTTCCTTCCTCCTCCCCTTGTGCTTAACCCCTTGTGTGTTATCTGTTCCAGAGGGGTCGTGAGGATGGATGTTAAAATCCAGAACGTTGATATAAACCAGTGTGCCAATGGACAGGGATGGTTTGCAAACACACACCAGTGTGACCTCAACAGTACACAGGTAAGGAGGATCCCTGGAGTTGTACTCCCAACTAAGTCACATAACAATGTTAGCTCAGCAGAGATACAGACTAGAGACTTCTCTGTGATGAATCCTGTCCTGTAGAACTTCCTCCCCAGAAACTTGCCTTCTATAACTTCTGTGGCCTCCTCTTCCTACTGTTCTTATGTAACATGTAGTACATGGTTGCAATGTGCCAAGTACCGTCCATAGGCTTGTCACATCCCTATACAGAGGTCTTATAATCTAGAGCAGTCTATCCCATTCCATGCTGAGACTATGACACTGGAGATGCTGGCTGGTGATGAGAGGAATCCTACTCCAACACATCTGGAGGGCACATCAGGTTGGGAGGGTCTGGTCTAGACAGGCAAGACAGAGGGATGGGAACAAGTCAGGGGCTAAGCAATGGAGAGCAGGAATCAAAGCATTGGTAGAAAGGGTGAGAATATTGGAAGCCCTGGAGCTACACTGTAATTTTGCACAGATTCAATATTTGGCCATGTTCCTTGCTGTCTGAGGGGTAGCCCCACTCTAGCTGTTGTGTTGCTTAGTTAGCACCATTCTCAACCAGCATCAGCTTTCTTCTTCCACCACACCCTTCCCCAGCTTCTTTCCAGCAGCGCTCCTGTGTTTCATTTCCCCTTCGCTTCTAGCTGCCTTGCATTATCCCTCTCTGCTGATCCATCTGCCTCCTTCAGCTGCTTGTACCTTCAGTGCACAGCAGGCTGTTAATGTGCAAATCTGCATTTAAGCACCTTTTATTGAGTGTGTGTCTGTATGCCTCATTACTACCTCTGGACACAGTCTGTCATGGGGAGTGTTGAGCTGGGGGCTGCTCTTAGTCCTATAGTCCTGGTGATAGGTTGAATTGCAATCTGGTGCCACATGACAGAAATTATCTCAAGAAGCCTCCCAGGCTTGTAGATCAGCTGAACACAAGAAAGCAGGGATGCAATGAAATGTCCAAGCTTTGAAAAACCAGGTGAACTCATCTCACTGGAAATACATGTACTGGTTTACAAAATCCATGTCATTTTGACCTGGGGAGAAAAACAGCATTTTCTAAAAATCTGATGCAGGACCTGACTGAGACACTTTGGTGCCTGAGGCAAAACAGACAAAAATCATTACCTCACCTACCCTACTACTTCTGCTATTTTAACTAAGATGAGAACAAGATCCAGTAGGATATTCGCCTGTCTGATACAGGCTTCACCAAATGAAAGGGAACAGGTCAAAAGCAGCACTGTTGACACCAAAATAAAACTGGACCCTCAGAATGGCATGCAGAGCTTCAGAGAAGCTTAGCCTTTCCTCAGAGCTCTAGTTATTGATTGGATTTGATACTGGACATGACATTCATCTCAGTTTTCATTTGTAAAAGCAAGTTTCTAGCTCTTACGGTAATCAGGATATGAGAGGGTGACCTGGAGTCCTACATGAAAGAGCACATTCCTCTTTTGGAAGTCATCCTCTACTTGAAGGGCTGTCCAGTCCAAACATAAAGAACCCTAAGCAGGAAGAGCCAGCAGGGAGCTTAAAGTGACCCACTCAGGGCTGCTCAGTGGGAAGGCTTTGGTCCCCTGCATAGCGTCTTGCTTGCATAATGTACAATGAGCACATAATTCAGGTTTTCATGGTACAAAACGTGAGCCACAGAGCTTTGTGATTTCTTCATCTTTTAGCATCAAACCTTGGCTCTATTCAGAGAGTGGCATATGCAGAAGAACTCTGACCTTAGCAGTATGCCAAGGAAACTACTTATAGGAATTTGCTGTTAAGGAGCTACATAGGTCAGCTTTGTGATAACCTATTCTGTACTTCTGCATTTTGTTTTATGTAATCAAAAACAGAGTTTCTAATCATTACCTAGAAGAATGACACTTACTTAAGAAAAGATTTAACTGGTTTTCATCACTGTAAAATAATCCCAAAGTAGGGTATAATAAAACACAGTTACATAATATAACGTTGACCAAAAAAAAAAAAAAACGGAGCAAACAGCAACAGTCTGTTGTTTATACAATGCAGCCAAAGAAAAGAGAATGAAATTAATGAAAAGTCTGCATAAATAAAAAGGTCTTTAGCTGGTGGTGAAAGCTTATCACACAAAATGTTAGATCAAACGGCTTGAGAGGCATCTTTAAGCATTTAACCCAATTAAGCAAGCAAGTTGGCGAATGTTCAGTGAGCACTGTTCTCTTGGCTGCTCCTACTGATGTAGTGCAGGTAGGGGACAGTGTACCTGCTCTCTTTTATTTGCAGAGATATCTTCTGCCACCCTGCTCAAATTTCCTCTTTCCCCTGAGATAGCTGATATTCTCCCAGTATTTGGAAAGAAATGGATTTTCCCAGCAGCAATACGTTGTTCATTGTTGTAATGGGACTTATTCTGGGGAGGCTTGATCTTGGATGGGCCATTAAGACCCAAGCTTTGGAAAAAGCCTCCTTCTGCTAGGTGAAACTGCTAGAGGTAGTTTATTGATATAGATCAACAAAGTTGCTTACATATTTAGGCTTTCTCTGAGGACTTGATTACAGGGACCCTCAGGATGAGCTCCTACACTTCAACATTTACCACTTCATCTCTGGCCAGGCCAGAATATGGAATTTTATGGATGATATGGAATATAGTGGATGAAGCAAAATGATGCCAATCCAGAAACATCTGGATACAGGAGCAAGTAGGGTGGAGAGTAGAAGCATACTGCTCGGGTTTGACAGGGACTGCCAGTGCTTGTGCTCAAATCTTGTCCTGGAAGGTCTATCAATAGCGTACTGCTCTTTAACCTTGCAAAGGCTGCGAGCCAGATGTGACCAAGAAGCCTATAATGAGGACATGAACGCAACAGCCCTGCCTTTTCTTTTCTCCCAGTGCCTGATATTTAGCCTCCTACCAGAAAGGTTACATCATACAAAATGTTGCATTGTGGAATATACATTACATTCTATTCCCCCATCTCCAATGATCCTGTCTGTTCCCAGGCTGTCAGCACTGTGTAGCCCCTGAGCATGTTCAGGCCTCATGGGGCTGCTTTTAGAAATTTTCCCTCCCTCTGTTTTGTAGTTCTGCAAGCTTCAGGGTTCTCCCAAGTCTGCTGATGTTTCCCTTGTAAGAGGCACCATTTGGGCTACATAAGTGAGAATATTCTGCCCCTGGAGACTGGAAATTGAGAGCATTATATTTATTCATTAACCATAAAGAACCTAAACAATTGACCAGCACTTCATCTTGTGGATATGAATCCCATAACTTAATTATACACTTCATAATTGTGCCCAGCCTGCATTCCACATCCTGCAGGTGAAAAGTGAATGCGCTTTTCTCACAGCATCCAAAATCACACAGCACAGCAAGTTTTCCTCTGAGTCCTTCCTCTTTTCATTTAACAAGACTTTTTAATTTTTTAAATAAAAATGGAAGCAGAGTCCAGCATTGTTAATTAATGTTCTGCATCGATCCTGGGTCTCTATTGCTATCCCATCCTTCTTTTCTCACGCTGGGTAAATATCAGTGACACATGCTGATCTTTATCTGTGTCTAATTAAATTATTTCTTTTGAACCATAGGAGTCCTTTAAATATCCTCTTCCCCAAGCATTTTTAACTTCATAGTAAGTTCATTTTCCCCTTCTGTTTCCCCTGTCTCAATGCATCTCCTTCACCTCATTTCCTTCCAATTTTCTTCACACAAGTTCTGCCGCTCCTGGTCACTTTTGCCTTCCTCGGGCTACTTAAGCATGGAGCAAATTCTCACAATTGGTTCCTCAAATTAGGAAAAACATTTTTGTCAGAGAACTGGATAGATAAATTCCACCACACCACAAAATCTGAAGTGGCCTGCAGAATCCAGAATGGATTCCATAAGCTGGGTGGAGAAGCCTTTGTGGCTCTTTGTGCATTCTCTGAGGCCCTCCATGTGCAAAGGGGCAGTGTTGTCTTGGGATATGTGAAGTATGGGGGCCTACCATGTCTGGCTTAAGTTCAGTGCTGGGGCAAACTACAGGGCAATGTGTTCAGCAAAATGTCAAGAAAGGCAGTCCAAAAGCAGACAGAGACAATTTTACAAGACCAGCAGTTCAAATCTCATTTAATTAATTAATTTATTTATTTTTCAATTTATATTCTGCCTTTTTCCTACAAAGGGCTCAAGGCAGCTTACGTCTCCTCCTCCATCTTATCCCCACAACAACAACCCTGTGAGGTAGGTTGGGCTGAGAGTCTGTGACTGGCCCAAAGTCATCCAGTTGGCCCCATGGCTGAGCGGGGACTAGAACCCAGATCGTCTGAGTCCCAGTCCCATGCTCTTAACCACACTGGCTCTCATTTCTATGCCACCCAATAGCCAAAGCTCTCTGAGCCATTTACAAAGACCAAAAACTTGAACAATTAATTATACTTGGTATGAAGGCCATTTATATGCAAACATATAAACAGACAGCATACACTGAGGGGCACAAATATCTCAAAAAATTTAAATGTTTCATCGTCCAACGAACATGCTCTTAGCATGAATTCCCATTTCAGTAGTAGAACTGATCAACGGACATTTTGCCGGCACACTTCAGGGCTGGGCAGATGCTCAGCCTCCTTTTCCGACTCTATGAGGGAGTTGTGTTCCTCAGGGGCCCACATTATTTGAGCAGCTGGTGCAGCTTCTCTTCAGCTGCTGGAAGATGCCGGGCTGTCACTGGGGTCAGAAGCACCCATACAACCTTTAGACTTTGCCAGTTCAGAGACTTCACTTGACGACATCTTGGTTGGGGTCATGACACAGCCCAAAGATGTCTCCAGGCTATGGGAGGCTTAGGCCTTGCATTTCATTCTCTGAGGCCTCTTAGAGGACAAGGCTGGTGTAGTATAGCCTGAGAAATTCCCTCATTGTATTACCAGCTCAGAGGTTGTCCTGCAACAACTGGCCAGAATGTTCCTGGGACCATTCTAGAAAAAGTTCCACCCCAAGGAGAGCTCAGGATTCCAACTGGGGTGTAATTGTGCCCCATTGTCATTTCAGGTGCTTCCACAAGGCCCCATTAATCAAAGGCCCCTTTGACTGAATCATTCTAACGCTCACAACTCCTCTTGATTTGTCCTTTCAGAGCCAAATTGAGGTGCTGAAGTTCAGATTAGCTGGTGGTACAGCAAGGGGTGTACTTTGGGGCCAAAGTCTATCCCACCACCCATAACCCTCCCAAATGTGCAGGCTGTGATGCAAACTCTATTTCCTTCCTGTGGTCATTTATTTACATATATTTATAGGCTGCCTATAATTGCCGAGGCCTTCCTAGGCGGCTTACAGTGCAAAACATACTAACAATAAAAACACATTAAAACAATTTAAAAGGGCCACAGCACAGCATAGTCATGAAGGTGCTATAATTTAAATGAGTTTAAAATGTTAAACTTATATGCCCAGAGTATATTTTTTAAAAATTAATATATTTTTTAATTTAAAAAATATTTTTTAAACCAGCTTTGACAGATAGTTTTGTTTTTATTGCTGCAATACTTCAGGCATGTAGAAGCTGTTACAAAACACAAATACAGTGGTTGGAAGTGAGAGGCAAAGAGAAACCTTTGTGTGCCTCATAATTGAAACAATGCATGTGACCATCTAAAGTGTCCCCTGTAAGGTTATTAAATCCAGGGTCTAAAATTACTTACTACTGTGTTCAGAGTGCATTTCTTTCACCTCTAAGGATACATAGTCCTTTTGTGCACATGATGATTAAGAGGAAAAACTTCTAGGTCAAATGGTGTATTTTGTTTCTTGGGCTTGTGCCATAGCATATCTTGCTTTATGAGGGAAAGCTGTGAAAGAAGTGAAAGTAGTATCAGCATGCACCTTTATTTCTTGGCCCTCACATCTTCCCTTTTTTTGTCAGTTCCTCTTCTTCCCTCATGATGATATGCAAATTGTCCCCTTATTTCTGTAGACATACTTCCACTGTAGAGCTCACTATAGAGATGCGTTCACTGTGGCTACACTTTCCCTCAGGAGTGAATTCTTAATCTTTTTGCCATACAGATTGGAATCCTTGTTGCTTAACCTGAGCCCTGCTCAGAACATTCATTGGAAATAGCAAATATGTAGTTTTCAGAGCAGAAAATCATGGATATCTGCAGCAGTCCTGCTCCCTTGCTGTTGCAGCTTTTTCTGCCCCAAGCTACATTATCTCTCTGCATCATTTAGTAACATCAGCAAGACTATGCATCAAACAAGCAGTGGATCTCTCCTCCTACTCCCCTTCCCACTTAGCCAACATAGATTTTCACACTAGGAAATCAACACTCTGATATGCTTCAGTGCTTTTCCTGCACTCATCTTGCTCTCTTATTGCTGTGATCACTTTATCCCTCTCCGTACGTATAAGTCTACGTATGCATGAAATTGAGCTGGTAGAGTGAACTGTTTCACTTCCCAGTCAGAGAGAGGTACTATTTTAGGTGTGACTGCACATTGTAAACTTCTTGAGATAAAAAGGTAGTGGAATGGGGCTTTTTAAAAATAAACAGAGCAAAGTACCACAATCACCATGATATGTAACTACTGAATTTTACAAGTTGATGCATTATTAAGGCTTTAAAATTCATCCACCACAAGGCTCAACTTTTTTTTTACTATAAGTATCAAACAAATTTCAAAAACTTTTAACGCATTGTTCAAAAGGAACAATTTGCATTGTGCCAACTTTGGTGTTGAGTGAAACTACAATATATCTTTGTTACACCCCCTTTGATTACCACCCTGTCCTTTGTCTGCTTGCCTTCTGCTGCATAGTTTAACATGCCTCAAAGTCCAAAACTTCATTTAGAAACAAACAGTGAAAATATTGGTATTCAAACACCGGGATTTCATAATTCAAAACTGAACATTGAGATAGAAGAGCCTGCTGGTTCTGTGTGTACCTCTCTTTGCACTTTCCCTCTTTTAGCCTCTCTGCCCCACATTTCCATCGGCATCTGTTCCCCTAGTATGGAATTTATGCAGTCTCTAACTCCTTTGACATTAAAGGAAGTCTCGCCAATGAACGCTCATTGAATGGTTGTGTTAGCTCTCTTTTTGCCAGTGGTCGCTTTCCATGGGATTAGCATGCACTGCAGCATTAGTGATCCATTTAGGTTTTAGGACAAAGGGATTTGGCTATCCAGCATTTGGCTATGATAATGCTTAAAAGTTTAACCACTGGTGTCCAGAAAAGGTGGGGGTGCAAACATGAGCTAATGGGCGGCTTTAAACAAATCTAATAAATAAATAAATAAGCTGCGGGAAAGCAGAGAAGAAGCTCCTTGGATTAGACACTTGGCTCTAGCTTAATCCAAGAAGAGGTTAAGAGGAGGCTGGCCGGATTATAAAGGAGGGAAAATTGGGGTCTTACTATTGTAAGTCTGACCTCAGAGAGTGGCCATGAAGATGTGATTGTTATCACTAGGGTTGCCATCAGGGCTTAATTTGAACTGGAGCTTAGAACCAGAATAAAAGGCCCAGAGCACGCATCTGGACAGGGCCAGCCTTGGGGGGTAACATCAGGGAAACTGCCTTATCCTGGGTCAGACCATTGCGCCATTTTACCAATCATTGCTGGCACTGATTGGCAGTGATTTTCTAGCACAGCTCTTTGGAGTTACAGAAAGATTATTCCCTAACCCTACTTGGGGTTGCCAGAAATTGAACCTTTGTATTCAAAAACTGTGTACTACCACTGAGTTGTGGCCCCCTGCTTAGCATCAGACACCTGTCAAGGTCTACACCCCATGAAGAAACCCAGTGCCTTCACCTAGAGATGCCTTCCACAACCGTGTGCCCTAGAGATGGGTTGGACTACAAGCTCATCATTCCCAGCAAGCAAAGGAGAAAGAGTATTAATTTATGCATACCTTGTCCTCTCTGTCTCTGAGTCATAGTGCTGATCAGGGCCTGATAGAGGGGTAAGTATATTGTCAGCAGCAGTTGGGAGGAAGAGGTGGTGAGCCCTTTTAAGGGGCAAGGGGCACTAAGAGCATCTTGCCTAAGGATGTGCAAAACCTGTTACTGGTCTTGCTCCTAGGGTGGCTACTTACACATTAGCAAAAAGGAGAAAAATACATCATTTTTAAAGGGACAAAACTTGAGAGCAATTTGCATAAATGATCATACGTAAATTTAGGAATCTGCATCCAAATTACTCTAATTAAAATAGAGATGTATTGCATCCTATCATAGTGGAATGACTGATGTGTGCCTGCCTAGTTTATTGTCCAAGAGACCCTCAGTGCTCCTCCTTCTGGCTGTTGAACTTGGACTGGACAGCTTTCCAATCAAGAATAGTACTCTGTAAGGCAGAACATATGGCTGCCTTAAGTGCCACTGAAACATATGGCATAACAGTGAGCACTGCTTTTGACAAGGCTCAAGCATCCTCTGCAGGATACCCAGCCAAGTACTCTGCCATCCAAGCATGAAGCAAACTGAGATCATCTTGGCTTTAATAATAGCCACAATCAAGTGCCTTCAGATCAAATGCCTGGGAGCAGAGATTTAAGGCACAGTCCTATGGTGATGGCCATAAGCTCCTGCACTCAGAGGCCTGCAGGCAACCAATGCAGAGCAGAAGGAGTGGCAGAAGTGTTCTCTTCCCATCCTCCTCCCTTGCATTTTCCACTAGAAAGTGTTTTAGCCAATCTAACTGGAGTATCTTGGTAGGGGAGGGAAGGATGTTGGAGAAGTGTGAGGATAACTTGTCTCTTAGCCCCTCCAGTCTCTCCCCACCTCTTCCTCCTGCTCTCTGAGGTTATCATTGCATCCTCTGAGAGCAGCCAGCATGCCAGCATGCTGGCTGCAAGGGGATGGGGAGGAAAGACAGAGCTCAAATTCCTGGCTCCAAGGTCAGAGTGCAGTCTAGGATCTGGGACCTGGGATCTGAGAATCCAGTTATTCTGTGGTCCTTACTGTCTAGGGGCTATAGGATTGCTTCCTTAAAATGTTATGGATCAGTTTTAGTTTTGCCAGTATTTTCCTTGCTTCCTAATATTATTGATAGGTTGATATTTTTTGTTTTGTTTTTATTTCATCTTGCATATAGGAATGAGGGTGTTGTTACTGAGCATGGCTTTGGCATTTAGTTTAGGTAACTAATAAATGCAGAGATTTAACTTCCCACAGCCTTTGGGGTGCAAAAATTGGGGTGAGTCCTGAAGCTAGATTATAGATGAACAAGGAACAAAAGTGAATCAGAAAGAAGTTTGCAAAGACCTGTCCAAGTAAGCCAGAAAAAAAAATCTATGAACAGAAGTAAGCCTTCAGACTACAGGGATGTTAACTTAGCTTTACTGCAGGCAGACTTTTTCTGAAGAGCAAACTAAGGAGGGAGACTAACTCACAAATATGCATTTCTGCTTTCAGTGTGTCCCACAGGACAGCCAGGGTTTTATCCTTGGAAGGTACCTTTGTCTCTGCAAACCAGGTTTCTACAGGACAGGCAGAGCCTCCTCCTCTTCCTCTCCTTCCTCCGCCAGTAATGGCCAGTCTGGTAGGTAGAAATATTTTACAGAAATATTATTGTATAGCAAACCCCACAGTCCAAGTTATTCATTCATTTCTTTGCCTATTATTTATATAGTGCCATCTATGGATCTGGTGCTTTATAAAGAACTGATATGAGAATCCGCTACTCCAAGAGGCTTGCTATCTACGTAGACACATGGAAACAACAGGGGAGAAAGTCAACCTTGGTTACTTCAGTTATGGAAACATGGTTGAATGAGACTGGGGGAGTAAATCTTTCCCAGCTTTGTCCACCTGGGTCTTTCGTGTTGCAACAAACAAATCCTGGGGGTTTGGCTGCAAATTTATAGTGACCTACATCTTTGGCTAGGTGGCTTCATCTTCTAGTCTTCCAGTTTTGGAAGTGTGTATCCAAATGTAGGATGGACAGGAATAGGTGTCCCACTGCTCAGCATTCTCCTTTCCTGAGCTAGCCAGGTTGACTTGAAGCAGCTTTGGGGTCTAACCTCTGGGTAAGACCACAAACAATTGCACGAGAGGAAAATAGTGGAGCCAAAGGGAAGATTCATGAGCTTATGCAATGGGGTGGGAAGTTCATTCCTGAGTGAGGGCAAAGGGGATATTGGCAGCTGCAGCAGCAGCAGCATTACCAGGGGAGTTCAACTGGCAGCACTTGCTGAGGGGGCAAACAAAGAATCTGTCCCAGGGTGGCAGGGTCTGCAGGGTCATATGAGCCCTAATAAATTCCTCATAGTGTGTCAAGTGAGGTATTTTCCTGGGTTCCAAGATCACCGCAGATGGGAACTGCAGCCAAGAAATTAAAAGACGCTTGGTCCTGAGGAGGAAAGCTATGGCAAATCTAGACAGCATACTAAAAAGCAGAGACATCACCCTGCCAACAAAAGTGCGTATAGTCAAGGCTGTGGTTTTCCCAGTTGCAATGTATGGCTGTGAAAGCTGGACCATAAGGAAGGTTGAGCACCAAAGGACTGAGGCCTTTGAATTGTGGTGCTGGAGGAGACTTCTGCGAGTCCCTTGGACCGCAAGGTGAGCAAACCGGTCAGTCCTAGAGGAGATCAACCCTGACTGCTCTTTAGAAGGCTAGATACTGAAGATGAAACTCAAATACTTTGGCCACCTAATGGGAAGGAAGGACTCCCTGGAGAAGAGCCTAATGCTGGGAACAATAGATGGCAAAAGAAGAAGGGGACAGCAGAGAATGAGGTGGCTAGATGGAGTCACTGGGGCAGTTGGTGTGAGCTTGAGTGGACTCTGGGGGATAGTGGAGGACAGGAAGTCCTGGAGGAATGTTGTCCATGGGGTTGCGATGGGTCGAGCACGACTTCTTGACTAACAACAAAGTGTGTCAAGTGCTGGTTCTAACCTGATTTACAACAATACGCTGGGTCTCTGGTGCATCACAGCTTTCAAAGTAGCTGTCCCAGGCTCTGTCTACATACGGATAATAATGGCTTAATTGCGGGATTGCTGTAAGGATTGCTGAAATAATGTGTGCAAACATTTCTGAAGGGATAACTATGTTGCAGCAACATTAACAGAGTGTCTTGTGTTTCCTTAAAGATTAGCAAGTTTATGAAGCTTTCATGTACTAGAGCTTACTTCATCAGATGCATGAAAAGTTCTCCTTAGCTGGCACTTGGCAGGTTTGCATGTGTGTTAACAGAGAGAAAGGGACAGTGAGATAGAGAAATGTAAGCAGTGGAGCCAGAGTTGAGTGCAATGCAAAACAGACAAGCTGGAAATTGTGTTAGGATATATGTAAAATAATGGCAAGAATCACACAAAGCAGTGTTGATGATAACACAAACTTCCTGGCATTATGAGCTAATTAACACCTGCAGTGTATTAACTGTTATCTTGATTTAGGCCATAGGTGGTAGAATTGAATTTCTTGATAAGTATTAATTCACCTGCTTCATGGTGAAGTTTACCACTGAAGTTCCTTTCTTCCAGAATGCCCACTGTAAGGTCATTCAAGCATGTGATGCAATCACATTCAGAACAAACTCAAGGTTGCCAGCAAATACAGTATTCGCCCCATTCTCCAGACACATTTTGTGCCATATTATTATTACCAACAGTGCAAAACACGGTTCTCCTTGGCAGTTGAAGAACTGATCCTGGTGATCTGAACCTTGTTTGCTAAAGAGAAATGGAGGTTTCTACTCATTCCAGCTGTGCTGCTCTGCATGAACACTGCCTCCTATGATTTCCTTAGACCCTTGTTGACTAGTTTCTTCAACGTGGGATACTTGGCATGTTGAACTCTTTTAAGACTGAGGCCTGGAAGGCAAGATTAATTATGGCCCCTTCATATGAGTCATAGCTAACACATTACACATGGAATTTTAGATTAATATCCAAATGCAAGTTAACCTTTGAAGAAATATGGTGGAGGAAAGGGCATCTTAAGGGAAATTGATAGAAAGTTACTACTGTGTATTAATATGATGTGAGTTGTGAGTTATAAATTCAGGTTTGCTTGATTGTTTTATGGTTTTGTTGTAGTCTATTAGCTGCTTTGGGCCCTTTTCCAGAAGGAAAATGGAATATATAGTTTAATTATTTAAAAACTATATTTTGATTGTATTTTTCATTTTTGAAGGTGGTCAAAAGCTGCTATGATATAGTAGTTAGAGGATGAAAGACTGTAAATTGGAATTTGCTGGTTCAGATCCTTTTTTGGACATAAATCTCACTGACAGGCCCTGAGGCCAGTTGCTATTTCTCAGTTTAACCTGCATCTGCGGGTTGTTGTGTGGAACAAACAGAGGAGAGGGAGACTGCCAGGAGAGAAAATACGGGGTAAATATAGCAACAACTGCTGGAGGCCAGGCTTCAAGTCAGGGCCAGTCTAGAAGGAATGCCTGGAGATCTATGATCAACTATCTGGCAGTTCTTTTTGAAAAAGGCTAAATGTTGCCAAGATAGTGGTGATGCTTGGATCATAACTTCAACACTGGGAAAGCTTTTATAAAAACTTCCACACACTGCGGTTTTCTGATTTAAATCATCCCTCCAGAGAAACATGTTCTTTTTTATATTATTGAACGTATATCCATTTTTTGCCTTGCAAAGAACCCAAGTCAGTTTACTTTGCAAAGAACTAAGTCCTCCTCCTCTCTGTTTTATCTCCATAAAAGTTCTGTAAGGTGGGCTTGGCTGACAGTCAGTGATTGGCCCAAAGTCACTCAGTGAACTTCATGGCTGAATGGGGACTGCAACCTGGATCTTCCAAGTCATGGGCCAATGCTTTAGTCATTTCACCACACTGGATCTCATGAGCATTTTGATGGGCAGAAAGTTGATGGAGCAGGGATACATCAAAGAGAAAAGTGTTCCTCAGGAACTCTGCGGTACTACTTACAAGGGAATATTTGCAAACACTTTTGAATATGTGGCAATGGATTTTGATCACTGTCTGTCTGTGTGGTTGAGGTATAAAGCTATCTTTTCAAGTGTTGTCTTCAAGGCATGCTTCTCTTAACAATCCTTGTTAAAACGAGTTAGGGACAAGTGAGTCTTTCCTGGGATTCAAGAGCAAAAAGCACAGTGGTTTTTGTTTATTATGATGTTGTTTATTAAAGAAGCCAGTTAACACTGCATATCACATCATGAGCAGGTTGAGTATTAGAAAGGATTACAGGCAAACATACAGATCTGAGCAAAATGATGCTTGTCCCTTCTGTCTCTGGGATCCCCAGCCAGCGGTGACAAAGAGTCTCTAAGCAGGCAGCCAGTACACAGCACCTCTTTGTGGTCCTTGATCTGTGTTGAGGTTCATCCTCTGTGCCAGTCTTAGAACTTATATACTTAATTCCTTCATAAGCTACATGCAGTTTCAGAGGGTCTTCTAATTAATCACCTGTGTTATGATGCAGGCCTGTGCTGACCTTGAGACAGCTACTGCCTGCATTCCAAGGGGTACCTCCTTCTGCCTGTATGCTATTTTTTGATAAGCTGGTACATTTGGTGTGGGGGGAACACCTGAACTCAGCCAAGGCTCAAGTTACTGAAGTTCAGCAAATGCAGCATGGTCAGAACGAGTGGTGTCATGTAACAGTCTCCTTGAGATAGAGAGGTGTTCTGGATTTTAATGCCCCTACACATGGTACATGGATTTTGTACTTGCCAGCATTTTTAGTTCAATGATTTAATTGTAGCCTCAGTATCTTTATGTCCCTTTCAACTTCTTAGAAATGCTCAGAGGCCAGTTCTTTGGCATATTATATGCTTGACTTACAGGGATCATTTTGTCCCTTCCATCCTCATTGCACCACACAAGGATTATTTCTTTGGTTTCAATCATTTTCCACTCATGGATGACACCTGAAATAAAAGACAAGACATTAAAGTGAGAGTGGCGGTTGTTCATTTACAGCCCTGGTTCTGCAATAAATGTACCATATAGGGCAGGCCAATAGAGCACTAATTTGGCATTGAACAAAACAGAATATGTTTTGGAAATAGGGGTGCTTATATACTGGAGATCAGTATCAGCAAAATGGCCAAGTAGGTTGCAAGTTTGTTTCAAACCTGCTGCCTTCCCATTAAAGGCCAGGCAAATATTATCTAGATGTCGAACTGTACTGAAAGATATCCGCCCATGGGAGCCCCTGCCCATTTTGATAACAAGAGAGCGAGTTCTGTTGTTTTAACATACTGTTTTCCAATCCATTCCACCCCTGCAACCCTAACAGGAGAAAGTTCTTCCCAATATGGAGCAGTGGATTCAGGGAACTTGCTGGAGTGCCGGCCTTGTCACGAAGGCTGTACCACCTGCACTGATGACACGCCATGTTTGATCCAGGAAGATTGGTCCCTCCGTGCTGCTGTCCTGGTATTCCAGGCCTTCTGCATGATGGCAGTTTTCTTCAGCATGCTGGTGTCCTACCACTTCAGGAAGAGCAAGGTTGGTAAGGATGGTGCTGGGTGCAAGGAAGAACCAGCAGAGTTAAAAGAGAGGAATGGTCCCAACCTGGTGCTTTCCAGAAACTCCACAGGTCAATGCCCATCAACCCCTTTTGGCCCTACTGTTTGGGAAGGATGGGAGTGGTAGTCAAACATGTGGAGGGCACCAGGTTGAGGGCAGCAGGACTAGCACATGCCCCTTTTTGATTTCTTGGCTCAGTAAAGTGTCTAGCTGTTTTCATTGCCATTGCCTTATTTGCCATGTTTTCTTTTTAACCTGCATATCTGTACCACCTCCAGAATCTCTGTCCTTCCCTGCTTGGTTGAATATAGCCTGAAGTGCCTGATCCTGCTTAAACTTGGAAGTTAAGCAAGGTCAGGCCTTGTTGAATGGATGGGTGATTGTAATACTAATAATAATTTCACAGTAATTCCTGTTTTCCTAGAGAATTCGGGCTTCAGGAGTTGTTCTTCTAGAGACAATCCTCTTTGGTTCACTCCTTCTCTACTTCCCTGTGAGTATCTGTGATGGAGACAGGCGGGTTGTCTGGTTTGCAATGTTCCTACTCCATTAGGAAGACTGAACTTAAAAGGTTCCCTAACTTTGTGTGTGTGCCTGGGGGCATGGTGAGGCTGGGCAGAACTAACTCTCAACATGCCTTGTGGATTCCAGCAAGGGAAATGATCATACAGTTTAATCAGGAAGTGGCCAGGTTGAGGGGTCCATGTCCTGGCCAAAGGGAGCAGTGGGAGTGGATGAATCTGAGCCAGGAAGTCTTTGTCTGAGGCTTCACAAACAGTCTTTTTAGGGCATGTATGTAGAGCAGGCCAGTGAAATTCTACTCCAAGAAAGAAAGAACAAACGAAAGAAAGTTGAGTTCTGCAGCTTGGTATACATTAGGGAAGTGGAGCCATTTTGCACAAACATTCTTGCCATGCTTCATTCATTCTGCATTTGCTGGTCACTGGGAGGAGCCCATACATGGATCACAAAGGCGTTTGCTAAGCTTCTCCTCTATCAGTGGCTCTCCAGAACAATAAAGCAGGGGTTGTGTCAAGTTGTTGGCTTCAGCACCCTGGCCAGTTTCTGAAGTTTGTAGAATGTAGACAGCCATATAATCCATAGCTATATAATCCATGAAATGAAAAGACAAGTCTTTACTTTCAGAAGCTTTATGAGTGCACAGAATGAGATCCTGTAAAGTAACAGCAAAGAAATTGAGATTATTACAACCATACACATTTGTGAAACTCCTTGGGGAACTTGATTTGGAGCTAAGAGTTTGAAGGCAGAAAGCCCAGTCAATAAGAGTCTGAGGAGACCTAGCACTGAATGTCAATTTGGGCTTTTCCACCTTAGTTAGGAACCCCAGGGCAATTTCTTCTATCACTTTCCTTCCATGCAGAAGAGCCTGCTACTGACAAATGTGCCACTTGTTATATTTGTCTATTTGACTTGGGTTCTCTGGAGATGGCTGCAGGAATTGACCATGCATGTAAAGTTTGGGCCACCAGGAGAGCTACCAATGTTGTCTGGTGCAATTCTTCTATCTTCTCCATCTGAAAAAGCAGAGAAGGTTTAGCTGTGCTTTTCTACTGATCGGGGAGCTGAGCTGGAAAAGCAGATGTGCTTTGAATGTATGCACATGAAACAATCCCATTTGAGGATGGAGGGAAGAGACCTGGTCCATGCATCAGTCACCTTTCCTATCTTTCTTCCATGAAGGTGTTTATCCTCTATTTCAAGCCAAGCATCTTCCGCTGTATTGTCCTCCGTTGGGTGCGTATGCTGGGTTTTGCCATTGTGTATGGAACTATCACCCTCAAGCTATACAGGTAAGATTATTTGGAGGGGATGGGTCAAACATTAAAAAAGGACAAGGGAAGGATTCAACTTTGACTTAAGAAAGTTGACTTAAGTTGATTGTTGACTTAAGAAAGTCCATTTAGCCCAGTAAAATGTCTCCAGTGTTAGTGGGACAGATGCCTCAGAGAAACTCATATAATAACACTCTATATCTATCCTAGTTTTATACCACTTGACTGTCATGGCTTCTTCAAAAGAATTGTAGTTTGGGGAAGATGCTGAAAAGTTTTGCTATAGGTCTAGGCTGTTAATGACCAGCCAACCAGGTTAAAGATACATGTAGCTATACATGTGAGTCAAGGCGCATTCCATTTTTTTCTTTTGTGACTTGAGCCCAACTTTCCCTTTTCCCTGCCTTTGCAACCTGTGTGACTGATACTTTAGGTACCTTCTCCTGAGCATTTAAGTTTTTGTCTACACTTTCTGTAGTTATTTCACTTTTCCTCTATGAGTCTTTTAAAAAATCAAACTGTCCCAGTAGACAATCCAACATCTAGTGACAAATGATTTCATGATTAAGTCTGCATGATTTTGTGGCCATGTCAGAGTACCTTTTGGTACCTTTACTATGAAAAGGTTTTACTTAATTATTAATTTATGTTTATACTGCCCCATAGCTGAAGCTTTTTGGATAGTTCACAGAACTTTAAACCATAAAATACAACCCCTATGTTTAATGCAAAATAAATCCAAAGTAAACAAAGTCTGCAGCAATGCAGTGATCTAAAAATGTACTGATACAGTGTTTAAAATCAGAGGACCGAAGAACTTGGACCAAAAGATACTTATCTGGCACCAAAAAGACCACAAGGGCATTCCATAACCAGGGTGCCATTGCTGGCAAGGCCCTCTACTTAGTAACCACCCACTTTGCCTCATCCAGTAGGGGTGCTCCAAGAAGGGCCTATGAATCTAATCTTAGGACCAGGAGAGCTATATGTTTCAACACCTTTTTATGTATTATCAGCCATGATGGCTGAACATGATGGAAGTTGAAAGTTGGATATGATGGAAAATATCTGGAAGGCACCTGGTTAGAATATATCCTTGCCATCATTGTTTTCCTATTTCTCAGACTGCCTCTGCCTTCCTGTTCCACAGGGTCTTAAAGGTCTTTCTCTCTCGCACGGCCCAGCGAGTCCCGTACATGACCAGTGGACGGATCCTGAAGATGCTGGCTTTGATTCTGCTCTTGGTGCTTTGGTTCTTAGCCGCTTGGACAGTTGGGATGCTGGAGAACATAGAGAAGAACATCCCAGTGGTGGTCCTCTCCCAGACCACCAGGGGCCTCCAGTTTTACATCTGTGACCATGACCGCTGGGACTACATGATGGTTGTAGGTGAGGGTCAAAACCCCTTAAATTGATGTTTCTACCCATGGCAGGAAGGGGCTGGACTGAGTCCTGAAATACCTGAAGTGGAGGGTTATTGTATCCATTTTCGACCATCTGATGAGAGGCAAACAATTTCCTCCCAATTTCTGTCACCTTCTTTACAGAAACATATGCTAGAAAATTATCCAATCTCCCTTGCAGTCCTGTCTGCATAATTGTCTCCCTCCCACCAAGGGAAAGCCATGGGTGGGCAGGAGGCACTGGCTGAGCTGCTAGTGGACTCCATTGGGAGAGTTTCATTTGTGTGCTGGCCAGGTTCCTCTTCCTTAGCACTGATGCGCCTAGAGCTGAGGAGGCCCTGTGCACGATGCTCTCTAGGGGACCCACTAACACAGTCCCAAATGTTCCACCTACTAATCTCTCCATCACCCACAGCTGCCTTGGATTTCTCTTGCATCACACACTCTCCTCACCCAACCCTTTTACGAAGCAGTTGGAAGAGAAATAATCTGGCTCTCTTTTATCTTATTGTTAAACCAACTTTTTTACAGAGGTGTGGTGCATTGGTTAGCCTGATGACCACTACAGAAAGTTTTGGTTTTTTTTAATGAAAGAAAGAAATGGAAATGTCCCTTCCTTGCCCACCACCTGCTCAATTTCCTTCTTCCCATTACCAGATAAGGGTAGCAGCAGCAGCAAGACCTTATTTCCTTAAAAAAATATATTGAGCAGATCATGCATAACTGGAAATTGGCTCCACACCACACCTAATTTTGGTTGTTAAGGTTTTTTAATAAGGAAATCCGGTGCCATCACACTGCCATTGGAGGCCTTGCATCTATGCCTTGTCACCTGCTTTTAATGGTACCACTCAACCTCTTCTCCAAGCCCTGGAAACTCACCTTGGTCTGGGATGTTCCATACTACCTGCTAGGACCCACTTCTCCTGTGGCAAACAGCAAACTGAGAAAGCAAGCTGTGCTGATCATTCATGTTTGGCCTGATCCTGGTTGTTGTTGTGAGAATAAAAGGGAGAGGAGGAGAACTTTGTAAACCACCTTGGGCTCTTTGCAAAGGGCAGAAAGGTGGGGCCTAAAGGTAATTAAACACAAGGTAATAAAAGTGGTGTTGGTGATGATGGCAAGTTTAACCCTCAAAGGCATGGGTCCTCAAACTACGGCTCGCGGGCCCACCATGCCCATTTATCCGGCCTGCCAGAGATTTTGGACTTGCCACATGCGCATACACACACATGTGCACAGCAAGGTGCCAGCTTGGTCGCAAGATCATTTTGGACCCGTTTGGAGAAAATGATCTCTGCGCATGCCTGCCCCTGCCTCACTGCGCGTGCACCCCCCCCCGCCTGCGCCCCCCTCCTGCACCACCTTGGCAGCCCACGCCCATCGCTAGCACCTTTCAACTGGCCCCCGTTCAAAAAGTTTGAGGACCCCTGCTCAAAGTTATTAACATCAAGCAATGACCTGTGTGAAATGACTACTCCTCATCAAATACCACAAAGAGGGGCTTTTATTTCACTGTAGCTACAACTCTCTTAATACAGGCTGTTTTCAGGTAGCATGCTAACCTGTACTTAAGGGTTAAGTGCGGGCTGTCACTGAACTGCAAATTGTTATTGAAATGTGGGCTGTTGTGTTGTCTGAACCCAGCTACATCAGCAAACCATGGTTTGTTAACCATGAACAGAGCATGGCAAGAACCCATGTATTGTTGTTGAGCTGTGAACTGTGGGTTGGTTGTCTCTATTGCTCCTCTTTTTCTTCTATACATTATCTGAATTCCCTCCCCATGCCAATCATCCCCACCAATTACCCTATCACCCCCATAAAGCCCATCCCCAATAAATGACTCCTTCCCATCCACCATTTATTGCCCTGCTGTCCCTCTTCATCCCTTTTCATCCTTACTCCCTAATGCAAGTGCTGTTCACAGCAATGCTTCAGTGCCACATGCCCAATGTGGTGTTTTTAATTTGTTTCTTGACAACAACCCTGTGAAGTAGGTTAGGGGCTGAGATACCGACTGGCTCCTTGTTGCCCACTGTCGCCCAGTGTGCTTCATGACTGAGCGGAGACAAGAATCTGGATCTCTGGAGTCCCAGTCCAGCACTCTTACCACTTCTGCACGGTGGTCCTCAAGCAAAGGTGGTAGCAATGTGCACATTCAGCTTCGAGCTTCAAGCAGCCACTTGAGCTCAGGCATATGTGAGTCAGGAGACACTGATGGAAAAAGAAAAAAATGAGCCCCTGCTTAAGTAGAATGAGACTTGCCAGTAACTGCCCAGAATCCATCTTAGAGGCTGGGGGAAGGCTTTGGTGCCCACATCTCTCATGTCACACATTAACCAGGAGTTGTTCCTGAGTAGCCAAAGAGCTAATGCCTTCTCTGATCACTGAGCAACTCTTGTCAGCCTCCAGCATTCTGAGATCAGAGCTGAGCCAGCCATCCAGATGAGGAGGAATAGCTTCCAGGCAGGTTTTCTTTGCAGACCCCTCACCCCTTTTATGGAAATAAATTAACCATTGGGAGGGATAAGAGAAATAGAAGAGACCTGGGGCATCCATTTCTCTCATTTTGTATTGGAAGCTGTCCCAAGGCTCATGCGCATGGGACAGCATACAAACACTCCAAATAAATAAACAAACAAACAAACAATTTTGCTCTCTTTTGCTGTCCAGGTGAGATGCTGTTCCTGTTCTGGGGAAGTTTCCTTTGCTATGCCACACGGACAGTCCCTTCTGCTTTCCATGAGCCTCGCTACATGGGCATTGCCCTACACAACGAGTTGATCACTTCCACTGCCTTTCACATTGTCAGGTGAGGGTGGACAGAGTAATTGCAGTCACAGTGGGACCCAGGACAGTGATGCTTTGGGAGTTTGAGTGACTTGATGCAGTACAGGGGCTGCGAGCACGAAGCATGTAATGGCTTGGCTGGGGGCAAGAAATTCTTCGTGGTTCCAAGGAAATGACTATGCCCGCTTCCAGGTTTACTTGCACGGGGACACTTCATTGTTGCAACAAAGTACAAGTAAGCTAGCAAAATGCCTAGCAGAAGCGCTAAGTACTAAATTATATCGTATGATTATTAAATCTGGTAATGGAAGATTCCAAAATTCAACTGAACTTTGAAAAACCCCCTTCCATCTAGCCTCCAGTCCACTCAGAAAGGGTGCTTCCAAACATTTTGTCATGGAAACCCTCTGGTCCAGAAACATGCAGGGAATATATCACTAATTTCCCTAACCATTTTCTTTCTCCAATCCACCCCACTCCACCCTACCTATTTCCGGCTTTAGGTTTTTAATGGTTCCTTCCTTGCACCCTGATTGGACACTGCTGCTGTTTTTCATTCACACGCATGTCACCACCACAATGACGCTGGCACTTCTTTTCATCCCAAAGGTATGAACAGAATCCATCAAGTAAATTACGGAGTGGCTCTCTTTCATTTTTCTCCTGCCCTCAAAAGAAACTCATGACAGGCTTTAAAAATCATGAAACTCTGATCCTGATGTGTGTTTTTTTTTAAACTGTCAGATTAATTTTAGGTTTATTTTCTATTTTGCTGTTTATGTCCTAAAATGTGCACAAAAGCATATTCTAAGATAAAATATGGTCAAAGTTATGCACATTTTCATGCAGGTTTGCATTTTAAATTGCAGACTGATAGAAAAACAAAACAGAACACAGATTGGAAATGGACTGGTCTGTCCATTCCTAATCTCAACTAACAGCCAGGGATGGACCACTGACCCTTCCTAAAGGCTTCTGTGCCAGTGGCCATTACAACACCCTGCGGTGATGAATTCCATTCATCCATGAACTGGTTTGCACAACATGGAAGCCCACCATTATGTTGTTTACTTGCTGAAGCTGTTGCCATAGGCTTTCATGCCATGAGCACAGGGGTGGTTTGAGGACTAACCTTGAGGAACAAGCCATGGCAGGATGTCGTATCATGTGGACTAGGTCGATCAATCATGCATTGTATAAAAAAACCCCTGTCTTTTGTTTGTTATGACTATATGCTATCAATTACATGGATGGTCTCAAGACTAGAGTTGGAAGGTGAGAGAGAGAGGGAAAGAAAGAAGGAGGTGGATGTTTTTCTGTATTTATTCTGTATGCCATCTTGAGCCCTGGGGATTGGTCAGGCTAGAAATGTAGCCAATGTGGTATAGTGGTTCAGATTGTGGGACTGGGGCTCAGGCGATCTGGGTTCTAGTCTGCTTAGCCATGGAGCTGACTGGGTGACTCTGGGCCAGTCACAGTCTCTCAGCTCAACCTAACAGGGTTCTTGCTATGGGGACAAGACAGAGTAGCAGCAGGAGGAGAATGATGTAAGCCATTTTGAGTTTGTTATTAGAAAAAAGTGGGATATAAATCTAATGAATAAATAGAAATATATGATCCACATTGTCTGTAGTGTACTCCTGAAAGAAATTCAGTGTCTTTCCTTTCCTGTCATCCACATAGTTCCTGCATGCAGGGACACCCTTGCGGGAGGAAATTGCCACCGAGGTGTATGAGGACGAGCTGGACATGAGGCGCTCAGGCTCCTACTTGAACAGCAGCATCACATCGGCGTGGAGTGAACACAGTCTTGACCCCGATGATATTCGGGTGGGTGGAACACTCAGGACCTTCTTTTGACGCTAGCTATGCCAGAAACTGTGCAGAGTAAGAGTTGCCTTTTGCAGTCTTTCTCCTGATGCCCCCAAACCACCCTTTTGCTACCCAAGCAGAGCTTGAGTTGGGAAAGCTGTCATGCACAGGAAGGGAGCACAGCTCAGTGGCAGCACACATGTTTTGCATGCTGAAAACCCTGGGTTCCTTTCTAGGTACAAGCAAACGAGGTGCTTTATTCCTCAAATAGCTCCAGCACACTTTCGACCTCATACAGGAGTTATAGAAAAAGTGTGATTGAATTTGGTCACACTGAATTTCCCAGAAGAAGGCTCTCCAAGGGGACTGAAATGTGTTGAAACTGCTTATTCTTGTGGAATAAAACACTTCTTTTGCCTACACCATTGCTTTTATTTGGCATTCCTTGTTGGCTTTGCCATTTTGTTCAATTCTTTTAATTGCTATTGCATCGCCAAGGTAGGACTGGAAATTAACAATCCAGTCTGAAAGCCTGGAGAGCTATCACCTGCTAGATCAGGCAAGAAATACTGGACAAGGTGAACCAATAATCCGACTCAGTGCACATAGTGCAACTGCCTCCTCTACTTTATAGCAAAACTCAGAATTGGTTCCTTCAAAAGTTGTTCAATATGATATGCAAACCTGGACGCCTGGGTTGTTCAGGGGCTAAACATACGCGTGGTTAAGCCGAGCAATCTGGCTTTGCACATCACATTGCATAAGCAATGAAGACACTGACCCTGGATTGTACAGTAAAGCAGAGGAGGCAAGCTTTTAAACTGATGAGTAGTCATTATGTGCAAACTAGATCAATATTAAAATGTTGGGATTTTTTTCCATGCAGTCTCAGCATGTATATGCCACACTCAGCAAGCCTTTAGTTCCATGCACAAATACAATAAAAGATTTTATGAGCTAGGGGCTCTATGTGCACAGACGTTAACATGAAGGTCTTACCTACATTATCTGGACCCCCCCCTTTTTTTTTGTGGTGTTAAATTGCATAGCTGCAGCATACTTAGATATGGACACTAGCTTATACAGAAACTTACAAAGTCCACTGGGGCCAAAGCCAAAAGGAATACAGCTACATTACCAAACATGTGAGCATATGTTAGCTTAAAGCTTTTATTGTGGAGTGAATAAACTTCAGGAGAGGCATCTCAAGTTCTTAGAATTGAGGAAACAACATGTAAAAGCTTGAAATACATCAACCCGTCTCTGATCAGAGAAATGGGGTGGTACTCTCTGTGGGATCACAGAGGACACCTTTTCTGCCAGTTTCCATGATATAAATGCCACTCTGAAACCAGAAGTAGCTGTTATCTGCAGCAGGGAATAAGCGTCTTCTACCTGTCATCACTCCCCCACTCAAGCTCAGCAAATCCTCCCAGTTCTGCAGCTAGCAGACATACCTTCTATCAAATCAAGACTGGGACCAAAAAGAATCTATCAGCAATTTCTAAACTCATCTACAATACTCCACTGACTGGCCATGGCTACATGAACCATGTCCTACAATGGAGAAAACCTTGGACAATTATTCTTTTCTCATCGGAAGATCTCCTGGCCTGAAACTGAGCTGGGCATCTTTGAAAACTACAGACTATATCTGCCTCACCAATCTTTCACTGTCCTCTTTCCCATGACCCAAGTATTCCCCACTGGCTGAAATCCATGGAATAGGGAATTTGTAGTCCTTAAGTTTACTTAGTCTTAGAGCAAAGGGTCTTCCTATGGATGCAGAGCCAGCAGGTTATGCATTCATAAACTCAAGCATGCTGACATTTCATCCACATGCCCACATGACCGTTGTTGTTTTTGACTGAAAAAGTGTTTTCTTTTCTTTTCCCTCCTCACTTTCTCTGTGTTCCCCACCCTTCATCACACTGCCCCTCCCCCACTACACATAATATGTAGGATGAACTGAAAAAGCTTTACATGCAACTAGAGGTTCACAAGACCAAGAAGATGACGGCCAACAATCCTCACCTTCAGAAGAAGAGAAGTTCAAAGAGGGGCTTAGGCCGTTCTCTCATGAGGCGTATCACTGAGATCCCAGAGTCTATGTCCCGGCAGTGCAGCAAAGAGGAGAAAGACGGGTCTGTGGGTGGAGGGAGTGGGAGCCGCTCTGGCTCCTACAAGCGGAAACACTTGGATTCTGGCAGCTCAAGTATCAAACTGAAAGAGAATTCCTCTTCCAAACGTAAGGTGGCTTCATCGCTAAAGAAATCCCACAGCACCTATGATCACATGAGGGATGTCAAGGAAAACAACTTGCCAACCAGGCACGACAGCTGCAAAGAAGCCCCTTTGCTAGACTCCTTGATGAGGAAAAAACTAGCCAAGGCAGCCTCAGAGAGATCCAACAGTGACTCTCTCTGTGACTCGGCCCCTTTGGTCTACAAATCAGCCAGTGCTCACAATCTGTTGGCAGATAAGAAGCCTTTGCAACCCAAGCCTTCTCCTCTACAGAAGTCCCTCAGTGTGGTCACCAGTGCCAAAGAAAAGGCCTTGCTACTAACTAGTAGGGCTTACTTAGAAAACAGCAGCAAACTAGCTCAAGACAAAGAGTGGAGAGCAGCCATGAAAGACTCCACAATGGAAAATGAAGTCTCTGGACACACTGAGGTTACTGATGTAGCTTCAGAGGGAACAAAGAAACAGCTCCAGATGGATGACACTTCAGAAGGAACTGTGAGCCCCTTTCTGGAAGATAGCTGCCCTAGCAAAGATACTGTGTGCCCTTGGGAAGCTGTGACAGCCCCATCAACACCTGCAGAAAGCAGGTCCCAGAAACATGTCACGTATGCTCCTATCAGGAGTGTCAGAATCAACACCTCTGATTTGTCTGGGAAAAGACACCATGGCAACAAGAGGACACCACCGGAACCTCCTGTCAGACAGCAAAGTTTGGTTCATAGCCTTGAGAAACAAGATGTTGCTTCTTGGGATGGTCAGGACCAAACACAATATTCTGTCCAGTCCCACAAGACACACCCCAAAGACAGTCCAGTCCTGGTAAACATACATCCAGGGGAATCAGAAGAGTATCCAGCGAAGACTGAGATGGAAAGGGGGAAGCAGGAAGAAGATACTGTGCCACCTTCTGCCCCAGCAGGACTAACCAGGCTTGCCTCCATTGCTGCAGAGGTCTGCCCTTGGGAGGTCATGGAAGTGCCCATTCCAAGCAAGAAAGACCCAGATGCAAGTGGGTCAGACAGTCAGAAAAGCTCCCCTGAAAAACAAGCCCAAAGCCCTCAGATCTTCATTTCCAAAAGCTCCATAAAAGGCTTAGGTCTGGCACTCAAAGCATTCAACCGTTCAAGGATGAAGACAAGTATAAAAGTGAAAAAGGACAATGAGGGTAGTCCAAGAAAAAGTGAGAAAGACGCAGGGGGAAAAAGTGAAAAACTGGCAGAAGTAGCTTTGATATCTGTTGGAGGGTCACCAAAGCAACAGGTAATTACCAAGAGCCCTGGGGAAAGCAAGGCAAAGGTAGTCAGCAAACAAGCAACCATCTGCCCTTGGGACGAGGAAGCAGTGCAAGAAGCCCTTTCCAGTTTACAGAAGAGCTGTCCAAGCAAAGCACTTGAGGTCTGCCCTTGGGAAGTAAACCAGGATGAGTTTGTGCAAGACAAAGCAAGCAGCACAGAAGCAGTGGCTTCCAAAAATGCTGGAGGGATTTTCTCCATCAGGCTGGAAAGGACCAAGAGCCAGCGAGAATCTGTGTGCCCCTGGGAGACGATTGATGAGGATCAAAACAGAGAGGATAAAACTTCCAGCCTCTCTCCAATGGCTTTCAAGACAGAAAGCAAGAAAGCAGAGGCAAGTCCTAGAGAAGTGGCAGATGTCCTACCCAGCACATCAAAAAGTGATCCACAGTCCTGGGAAACGAGCAGTGCCTTGCTACAGGATGAGACAGTAAAAGAAAGCGAAGAGAAGCCTTCTTTGAAAGAGGTTTTTCCAACAGAAACACAGGGGAAGATAAATAGCCAGCATGATTCCAGGGATGCCAAAGAAACTTCTCTGGGAAAAGAGATTAAAAGGAGCCCAGATTTATCTAAAGCAGACCAAAGGAAACCCAGGAGTGTTGAGAACAGCAAGGCACAAATAAGTCCCTCAAAATCAGAGGGCAGCATCAATGTTAATTTGCAGATCTGTCCTTGGGAGATGGAAGAACTTCCATCAAACAAAAAGATGGCTGTGGAAGACACCGAATTGTCCAAAGAGAAGAGCACCAGCCTAAAAGCAGCAGCAGTGAAAAATCTTGCCCACCAAGACATTTGCCCCTGGGTAGCCACAGAATTACCAAGAGGAACAGAGGCTAAAATCTCAATGACTCCAAGGAAATCAGATGATGTGGAAAATATCAAAGCAGAAATATGCCCTTGGGAAATAAATACTACATTGCCAGAGAAACTGAAAGAGGATTCAGGAGGGGACTCCAAAGGGAATGAAGGCAAAAAGCTCAAAAGTCCACCATCTGAGGATACCAAAGAAGCTCTGCCCAAGAAATTGGAGAAAGAGAGCAGCCAGCAAGGCTCAGTTTGCCCTTGGGATAATGCAGGTGTTGAAGACCTTTCCACAAAAACCACTTCCAAAATGCCAGAACTATCCAAAGTATCTTTGAAGACATCAGGCAGTTGGGAAAGTAAGAAGGTGGAGGTCTGTCCTTGGGAAACTGAAATGGCTGAAGCATGTCCCTGGCAGGTGGCTTCACCCCCAACAGAAAGAGGGATGAAGCAGGTTGAAGGAGGACCATCTAAGGGCGTCATACTGAAAGCACGACATCCTCTGAAAATACCAGAGGATAGCACACAGCGTGACTCCATCTGTCCCTGGGAGGACATGGAATCAGAGAACACTTTAAAGAAACCCAGTACAAAACCCTTGGAACTGAGTAATACAAGCTCAAAGAAGCTTGATAACTTCCAGAGCAAGAAGGCAGAGATTGCTCCTTGGGAAACACAAGAGGAAGACACAGATATTACAGCAGTCATATGTCCCTGGGAGAGCGATGAAACCTCCACAACCAAAAGAGAACTTAAAAAGGGTGCAAATGCAGTCTCCAGAGAGGAGAAGAAAGGAACTAATGGGAAAAGAAAGCCTGTCACAGGTAGTGAGGATTCATTTATCAAGCCTAAGCCCAAGAACCTCCAACTATCCAAAGGCAGCTCAAAGAAATCAGACAGCACAGAAAGCCAGAAGTTAGCTGTTTGTCCTTGGGAAACTGAGAGTGCTGAAATCTGCCCCTGGGAATTGACTCCATTAGATAAAACGTCCTTGAGACAAAGTACAGAAGAAGGAATGGAAAGGACTGGAGATCTTCTGTCTAAACTTTCAGAGAAGGTGAGCAGTCCACAGGAATCCATTTGCCCTTGGGAAACTATGGACACTGATGACATGTCCTCAGTACCTAGTGCAAAGAGTCCAGGCCTAATTGAAGTAGGCTCTAAAAAACCCAGTACCATTGAGAGCCTCAAGGCAGAAGTATGTCCATGGGAAAGTCAAGAAACAGAACTTGGCACCGAGGCAGACATAGGTCCATGTGAAGTGCCTGAAAGCCCAGCTGATATAAGAGCTGGGTCTTTTGACAGTCATGGGACAACTCCACCAAAGCAAACAAGCTATTCTAAAACAACAGAGAAGATAATTGGCCCTAAAGAATCTGTTTGCCCGTGGGACAGTGTTGATGCCAGCAAACTCCCTGTTAATTCTGGACTGTCTAAAATCCCTTCCAAAAAGTCCAGCAGTGCTGAGAGCCTAAAGGCTGAAGTTTGTCCATGGGAATCAGCAGACTTGAGAAAGGGGAGCAACAGTAGTTGCTCCCCAGTGAGTTTCTCTAAAGCAAAGGAAAAATTGAGTAGTTCACGAGATGAAATCTGCCCATGGGAGAGCATGGAGTTTGAAGAAACTTTAGCAAGATCTGACCCCCAAAGTCCAGCCTTGTCCACAGCAGATTCAAAGAAAACTGCTAGCATAGAAAGTCTAAGGGCAGAGGTTTGTCCATGGGAAACCACAGAAAGTGAAATGAGGCGTGGGGTAGAAATGTGCCCATGGACAGCAGCCATGGCCCCCTTTGAAGGGGGAAAGTTAAGGCAGGACTCTGGAGCTTTGGAAGGGAAGAAAAGTAAGGCAGTACCGAAAAGTCCAGACTCAAAGAAAGCTAGGGGAGAAACAGTATTTAAGAAAATAGAAAAGTCAAAAAGCCACCAAGAGTCCATCTGCCCCAGGGAGAGTATGGACTTTGACAAACCACCTGCTAAAAACACCCGAAGTTTAGACCTGTTGCAGGTCAGTTCCAGAAAGTCTGAAAGCACTGAAAATCTAAAGGCTGAGGTTTGTCCATGGGACTACCAGGAGCTCCAGACAGAGACCAAAGCTGAAACATGCCCATGGGCTGTAACTGAAAGTCCACTTGAAAAAGGTATTTTGAGGAAGAATAAGGAGAGAGTTTCCAGTAAGCAGAGAGTGAGCAGCTCACAAGAATCTGTTTGCCCTTGGGAGACCATGGAATGGGCAAGCAGCCAAAGTCCAGATCAGCCCAAAGGTGGGTCTAAGAAATCATACAGTGTTGAAAGCTTGAAAGCAGAGGTATGTCCTTGGGAAATTGAGGAAGAGGAGTCTAGTGGTGAAGGAACATTCAGAGAAGACCCAAGTCAAGCTTCAAAAGGTCAAATAATTAAAAGCTCAGGCCTGATGAAAGTCAAGGGGAAAACTATGTCTAAAAAGATAGAAAAAACCCATAGCCATCCAGGTTTAGCTTCCCATCAGAAAGTTACTGATGAATTCTTGACCAAACCTAGCAGTAAAAGTGTGGATCTATCTAAAGTTGGGTCCATGGAATCTGACACTCTTACAAGTTTAAAAATGGAAGTCTGTCCATGGGAAACCCAAGATGCTGGAGCTAGCAGCAAAGCTGATGTGTGTCCTTGGGAGTTGGCTGGTGTTCCACTAGAGACACTAAGTAAGGCGGTGGGTGGCACTTCTGAAGGGGCTAGGAAGGTAGGTTCAAAAGGCCTTGTAAAAGCTCCCAAAGCCCTGGAGAAAAGTAGCAGCTCTCAAGAATCTGCCTGCCTGTGGGAGAGCACAGACACCATGGGGGTCTCAACAGCCCATGCTTTTGACAGTGCTTTTTCAAAGAAGTCTGACAGTGCTGAAAGCAGGAAGACTGAGTGCTGCCCTTGGGAAACTAATCTACCAGAAGCACCTACTAAAGGGGAAATTTGTCCATGGGAGGCAGAAACAGTGCTGCCCACTAAGCATGAAAGTCATGCATCACATACCAGTGGGACAGAGATGCCAGTGGTCAGTGGGCAAAGATCTCAAACCAAACGGGAGGGCATGGCTGGACACAAGCCTCTGTGCCGTAGCCTTCCTGTCCCTACATTACAAGTGGACTTCAACAGAGGCAGAAGTCCACTGGTGGGTGCCTTGGCAAAAAGTCAAGGTGACAGGACTGTAGCTGATATTTGTCCTTGGGAAACTGCGGAAGACCCCACGACAGCCAGAAAAGACCCTGCTGAAATCAGAAGCAAACCCTGCTCTGAGGTATGTCCATGGGAAGCAGAAGACAGAAGCTCCTCATCTCCTGCTCTGGCTAAAATTAAAGCAGGGGAGAAGCCACAGGTTGATGAAATTGAGGGTTCTAGCAAAGGTGGTATCTGTCCTTGGGAGAGTGACTGAAATGGGCATAACTAAGAATATGCTTAGGAGTTGTGAGAAAAGGCTTCTTTGGAATGGGCCATGCAAAATGGCTTAAAGTTAGCCCAGTGCCTGGATTTTTTTTTTTAAATTGAAAAATTATGGTGATGATGTCCACTCTACTTGTTAAAAGTAGTGCGCCATGCTTGGATGTTGAAGCAGCCACCAGAAAGGTGGATTGCTGCAGAGAAAATGTTGTACCTTCCTGCCTTCATTTGCAGAAAACCCAAGCTAGCTGTGAAACTGTTCTGTTCTGTTCTGTGTGTATAAACATGTAGCATACACTTCCCTGCAAAGTTTCCAAATAGTACAGTCCTGATGTCTGTAAACAGTAACATCTGGATAATGTGTTCACAGTAAAAGCTACCAACTGAAAAATGCCTTTAAGCGTACACACCATCAGATCAAAAGGGACCTGGAAATGATTGACAGGGAGACTTACAGAAACCATATAGCACTTGCTGGGATTTACTTTTTTTTTTTTTTTACAGCTATTATCATAATTGAATGTCTAACAGGCTGCAGGCAAGAAAAGGGTGTTCAATCATGGCTGACAAAGGACTGGGTAATACATACTCCCAGATCCCCAAAAGTTTACATTTTCAGTGGAACAGAGCACCCTCTGTATTCTTTTTGCATGGTAATAGGGATGCTACTCAAATGATTTTGTCCAAATTTCCAGGGCTGCTCTTTCTCATGTGGGCTTCTGGATCCTCAAAACGTTACCATTTCGATTATTTCAACAATGTTTGAATGTTACTTTCCATTTCCAGAGGCTCCCCAAGCCTTTCCTTTCTTCACTCCACATACTTTTCCAGAGTAGCGTTGTGAGAAGTTTCACTGGTAGCCAACACCAGGAAGGCCCTGAAGTTTGTCTAGAGCAACCATTTTCAAATTTTTGACCTTTCAAGAGAGTGCTTTTTATGTTGATTTGTCTGCCATGAAATCCTAACACAATGCAAAGTAGCCGAGCACCTGCTTTGCACACAAAGGTCCTAGAAAGACTCTTATCTGGAACTCTGCTGATCATTGCCAAGGCATACTAAGTTACAGAAGCCAGTGGACTGACTTGGTATTAGCAGTCCCATATGCCACAATACAGGAGACTCCTAATGCCTATCCACAGGTCAGCAGGTACACAAGGAAACTCTATTTTATTTCTGTACTTCTGGTGGTGCTATGATTTAAACGGGCTGACAATCCAAACCTGTGCATGCTCAAGATAGCCAAGGCAATTTTCCAAGAATTACTATGGGAGGCACACTATTGAAAAGTACCTCAGTTAGGGGCAAGTCCAAACCAGCAATTCACATTGATAGCAGAGTGAGCCTAGGCTGACTCAGTCTGGCTCATGAGCCACTTAGTGAGGAGCAAGAGGTTAAGAGACAGGTTACTGCACACATCAGTAGTCTGAGGTACTGATATGCTCCCGCACACATGTGCACACACATTCTATTGTGAACCATTCACTTAGAAGAGAATGCAGGGAATTTGCTGTTTTCTATCTCAGAAATCCTCCTTTGATATCACCCCATCTTACATGCCATGCAAAAAGAAGCTGAGAGCAACTAAAATAACTTTTTTTGCTTCATGAAAGCTGGGATCTATAAATATGCTTTATGGACCTCACTTAATCCTGTAAACTGTCTTTTGCACTTTTTAGGAAGTACTGCTAATGTAGTTTGAGGCCACTCTGTCTCTGTGCTGAATATCAAAACAAGGTTATCTCATTCTGTAATAAATGTAAATACATAAATAAACATTATCTATATATTGACAGGATGCATGCAGCCATTTTTGTGGATTTGCAAATTTTGTGGCAATACCTGACAGCCCTTAGCAACACACATTTTCAAAGCTGATTTGTCCACCAGCCCAGTATGGAGTATATTTGCTTTGATATTTAGCCAACCCCAGTGAGGCTTGCTGTTTGGTATATATTGTGGAATCTTGTCTCAATCAATAAGGAATTTCCGCTTCAGACAGATTCTGACTTGAAGGCAGAGGCCAGAGAGTTGAGCCCAGCTGTAACTACAGGCCTGATAACCTAGTTCTGCGAGCCCCCATGACCTGCTGAGCAGGGAGGGGGTGAGGTGCTGCATACTGATATGGTCAGTTCTGAACATCATCCTTAGCAACAGGAGGCCTCCATGAGACGTGGTCTTTTGGGTTGGGGGGTCCCTTTTAGCCCATCAACAGCAGAATCAAGCATGGCAGAAACTTCCAGGCAGGCATAGCCAGCAGTTGCAAAAATCAAGTTCATTAAGTGTCTCATAATGATCCCTAAAAACCACTTCCCTACATACTTTCCAGTAGCCCTTGAAGGAGACACACCGCTCACCCGGACAGCTTCCAAGCTTCTGGGACATTGGGGCCTCATGGGACTGACTTGGTGAGCAGCACTCTGCTAATGCTCTTCCTGACTGAACTTTTCATCATGGGACTTTGTTTCTCACTGTTTTTGTGGATCATTAATGCCTCCATGAAAGCTGCTTCCTCATTATCAAAATTACATCACTAAAAGATGTGACTGGAACTCCTGCCTTGGCTGCTGGGGGGTGGGGGGGTGTAGGACAAACAGGCTTATGATTGGCAAACTTTGGACACAATCTATTAATTACTCAGTTAAGAAGTAAATCAGTATGATGAAGGGTGCAGACCACAAAGCTCCAATCCAGTCTTCTTCCCTCAGTGAAAGAAAACTATACAGCAAGAGGCATGGTTTACACAATTGCTAGAGTGTTGCAAGTGGCTTTCACACATTTTATGGAATAAACCCAGTCCTGTCACTAATTCCATTAGGTGTACTTGTTCCACATGTTTCAAAGCCCATTTGTTATATTCACACATTTAAACCTCTACTCTTAAAACTTGGCTAACAGCCAGCAGTAGGCCTACTTAGGGAAAACCTGTTGAAATACATTGGACTTGATTCAATCATGACTTGATTCCCATTCATTTAATAGATCTATTCTAAGTATGACTAACAATGCATGCTCTGCCTTAGGTATACAACAAAATCCAAGATACCAAATTGGCAAGCTACAGTGCCCCCCACTGGGGCCTGAATATTTAAAATGGGTGGCTTCTCATTCCATCCAAATCTATCCAGAATCTAAGGCCTGAAAAGTTCTGTGCTTGAGGTAGGCTAACTGCAGGATAAAAGCCCCACCACAATTGTCTGGTGATGGCATTCATCATTTAGAGCTGAGGCAGCAGCTTTATCTTTATCTCCAATTCCTAGTTCTACATCCTGTAGATGTGGAGTGGGCCAGTCTCTCACACACTGCAGATTGTTCAGCAGGAGTTGTTAGAGGATCCTGAAAAGGAGGGGTGAAACTGTGGAAGCTCCTTCAATGGTCCCTGGTGAAGTTTCTCAGGCTGAGTGAGAATCTCTCTGTTTTGGAAGGGGAGGAAGGTTTTCAGGAGAGGAGGTACGAGGCCCAGTCCATGACCCAGTGGGGCAGTGTTGGGAGAAACAAGCTGCTCAAGCAAAGAGCACCACCTTGACGGTAAAGCCAGAAGCTTCCAGTTTGGATTCAGCTCTTTACCTGAGCAGAGGGTTCTCTTTCCAGTTTTGGTAGAGGGCTATTTAGCAATCAAACTGTTATCTGTGGAGTCTCAATTAAAGAACTGTATTTCAAAGGATTGTTTGAGTTTTTGGGACCAGAGGGAGGGAAGCATCTCATGACATTAGAAATATATATCTGTGATCCCATACAGAATACTCAACACAAATGTACAAACTATATTTGGACAGATTCATGAGGGAAGAAGCTATCAGGTGAAATGCCTGCATGCACCAGTTGTTGAGGAGCTTGAGCAGAAGGAAGTCTTGTATCCATCCTACTTGTGGGATTCTGTGGGCAGCTGGCTTGTCACTGTGTGTATGGTGTGCTGGACTGGATGAAGCTTGGGTCTGATCCAGCATGGTTTTTCTAATCATCTTGATCATCCACAACCTATCTGGTATTAGACGGCACAGCCTTCTGGATGAGAGATTTACTGTTTCCCTTTTTTAAAGGAATGAATATACCATATTCAAGTATATATTCTTTACTGACCCAACAAGTAACAGGCCCTTTTAGCCAATAATTGTGGATATACAGCAATTGATCTTGTGAGGACAACCGAAGAGAAAACAGCACTGATGCTCTCCAGTCTACTAAATACCCCCACAAACTTTCAAACAGTTCAGAGCTTGTGACAAATGTGGGAAAAAACTCCTGTACACAAAACTTGTAGAGACTGGAACAGAGACATGGCAGAGGTCTGTTCAATAGCAGTTTTCCTGCTGGATGTGTCACCTGGATATATCACAGATGAGACAATCACCTGTGGCTCATTCTTTTGGGATTATTTGTGCCACTGTTTCTGTGGGGCTGGAGCCTCTTGAGGAAAATTGATTTCTTCATATTCTTGTGAAGGCTCCAGGGTTGGTCCAGGGATCATAACCGTCTGCAAAGTGCAGGGGAAAACAAAAGGTTGACACAAATTAGCCCTTAAAATTTTCAAAAGCAGGTATTTCATTCTGATAACAGCTAAATATCTATCAGGCTTGATGGGGATGGGGGGTGGGGTGGAAGGCACTACATGAAGAACGAAACAAAAAACCAAACCTGATGCTACTGTTCTCCACAGCAGAAATGGCCTTCAGGCCTAAGGGAAAGGACATGCTTCTCTACTGCAGTCCAAAAGCTGCATCAAGGGTGTGAAACTAAGAAAGGCAGCAACACTGAGAAGTGCCTCCTTTCTGCATCTTTCCCTCATGTGAGATCTCAAAGCCCTCCATATCCATGGTGAACACATCAGCCAGTAACAGATAGCAGAATCCCACCCCTGCCCTAGCACTCCAGATTTGCCTCTAAATGTAGCATGTTACATCTTCATAGTGAACAACAATAAGCTTGGCCCAGAAGCTCACACTGGGAGACTTTAGGCAAGTCACTGGCACTGACTTGATATAAAATGTAAAGGATCTTATATGTAGGAAGAGGCTTACAGAAATGCAAAACAAGGAGTGCATGACACAGCTCTGAGCGCCATGTTGACATCTATGTACGTGTTGCTTATGAACAACATGTAGAGAACTGAAAGATGCTGCAGCCTGCCTCAGCCAGCCTACCTTGACAATGGGGTCTTTTGGAGGAGCCCACGCTGGAACAATCTTGCCGTGCAATCTCCACTGAGCATACCGGTTGACCAGCTGTCTTTCAAACACAACGTATTCCAGGACATCCTTTGGTATTTGCTCCCCACCATACATTAGCCTCCCAAACCGGTCATAGATGGCTAAAGTCTGCAGGTAAAAATGATAAATCTTTGGAATTAAGCATTGGTAGGCAGGGATACATTATGTCATATCGAGAAAGACAGTGGATGGATATATGTACCTGCCGGGTGTGCATCCGCACTGTTACTTGTCCATACAGGTTTTCTTTGTTCACCATAGTTGGGCATCGCACATGAACCACTCGAGGGGGCTCCAAAGACTCCAGAAAACTCCACCGGATCGTCTTGTATCTGTTTCCTTGCACCATTTCCTAACAAAGCAACATTCATTTTTAGTTAAACAAGGGAATGAACTGAGGAATTTCAAAATATCAAGACGTCACTGCTGTCAGAATCATATTGGGAGACCTAAAGAAGTCATATAGGTGTCAGGCCCTTTTCTTGTACTAATTTTTAGGAGCACTGACCCTTCGGTAAGTTATTTGCTGATCTCATCACAGATATTTACCGGATAACATCGTTCTGTCACTAAAGAGTGAAGTTTGTCTTTGTCAAAGCTGTAAAGAATAAAAGCAAGAACAAGTTATTAGATTAGCAAGATACCTGTGTAGATTACTCAGTCAATTGTGAAAACATTTGAGATTTCTAGTCTCAAAAGTAAAAACCACAGCAACCCTGAAGCAGATCCACCCACATTCAAGAGAGAGTTTTAGCCATGTTACCCTATTGAAGAATCTTAAACAACCCCCCCCCCCCCCCCCAAAAAAAACCCTCCATGGACATGATAACGTTAGCTTTCATGGACTACAATCCACTTCACCAGAGGCCTAAAGGAGTATCACCAACTGTCTCCTGAGTGGACAGTGTTAGTAATATGTTCACTGTCTGTATTTACTGCATTTTGTTTGCCTCCAACCTTAAATGTTTGCAGTCATGTGTATATGTATGTATCAGCTATAATCCATAAAAGCCTGAGCCATTATAGAGTTCTTACTTTTCAAGACCCTCTGTTGCTTTCAGAAGCCAGGATGGTCTTTAAACTTCCAACTACCTTAGCAATGGGTAGCACTCTCAAGAAACTGCCTTATTTCTCCACATGTTGAAGTACAGTCAAGGTTCTAACTTTTGTTCTGAGTTATGGAGGGGTAACAAGGGAAAGCCAAGCAGGGCACAACTCTATGCCTATTTATACACAAAAATACCTAGAACCCCTAGCATACCCTGGTCAGAACCCTTAGTCAACCAACACTGGCTCTCAGAGGAATATAACTGATTGAGGTAACTAACTTTATGCCACGCTACTCACAGCCTTTTATGCATGGCATGTAGCCTGGAGAAAAAACTTCTGAAATTGCTCACACCAAGAAACAAGTTTTAAATGCAGCATTTAAAAAGGGGTCCATAAACTTTGTCTTGATAATCAGGTGTTATTGGTGGACAGCATCAACCCCTTCCCCATGCTTTCTGAACGCCACAGATCTATTCTTGCTTCACACTGGCCTTTGAAAACAGAAACTACTTCTGCAAAGGCCCAAGATGAAGTGCACCGATCTGCAGAGTTGTCTGTGTATACAACGGCATGGGAAGATAGGGTTTTCCTGTAACTGGCACAATGAAAAATCACTCACTGCAGAATTATCTGCAGGGATGGTGATTCAAAGCAGAGATACCTACTAGGGGCAAATGGATTGCAAAGGCTTGATCTTTGTATTAATTACCTTCAATATGTATTCAAAAGAGGTATTAAAAGCCTGTCAAGCACTGAGCAATCTTATGCCAGCTCTCTGAAACATACTTAAGTTTGGTGAAGGACATCAGAAAATCACCATAATTACACCTGATATACTCATCAGTAGCTGGTGATTGCAGACTTCAAAAAGCCGGTATGCAGACTTAGAAAAGCTACATTGTCCAGTGAAAGATATTTAGTCTAACTGGTATCACCAGCCTTCTGGAACCAGTAGGGCTGTTGGCTACTGTGAAACTGGTAGCTAAGTGGTGGGATGCAAACAATAGTAAGCATGCACAGAAACATCCTGAAGTGTCTTTACTTTGCCAAGTAATTGTGAGCTTCAATAAAGATAGTCTGGGCTTTCTCTGCAAAAGTTTTGGTGCTGAAGTCAGGATCATGTTCTTTGATCTTTCGGATTCTGCAAAACAAAAACAAGAGAAGTCTAATGGAAAGAAAGCAGTTCCAGTTCCAGGGAGCAAGGTAAACAGTCCATACCAATGCAGTACACCCAGATGGTCTCTCCAGATATACAGGGACTATGCATGTATCAGAGCCGTGAAATGAAACTCCTCCATAGTTAAGTCTGAGTTTCACATTTAACATATTATGCCCTGGTACAACTGTGGAAGGAAGAGAGGTGGCCAGAGAAGCCCCTCTTATTCCAAAGCTTCATTTTTTAATATCTCCTTAAAATCAGGCTTTTCCTGCAATGCCCTGAAATTGTGAACTGCTCCGTCTGTAAAAAGGCAGGATCTGTTCCACCAACAGTCCTGCCTACTGGAACAGGACAGAGCTAATCCAAAACTGCCCTAATATCATGAGAGAGAATGATATATGCAAGTTTATGAGAGGGTGCATTAGAGATTGTGATAGAGTTGATGTAAGTACACATAGGAATCAGGTTTGAGTCACATTAATTTCTGAAAAACAAGAGAAAAAATCATTCCCTTGCATTTCTTGCCACAAAATGTGGTGATTGCTGGCAGCTTCAAAGGCTTTTAAGGAGGCTAGATCCATTCATGGAGGACTGGCCTTCCATGACTGAGGGCACAATCCTATGCATGGTGAGGCAGAAAACTGTCCTACAGCTCTCAGCATTTCACAGCCAGCGTTTTCTTTCAAATAGGAAAACAATGAATCACAAAATCTCCCATGGCTGCATTCCCAAGTGGTAAAATACCAGGAGTGTACAACATGATTTTTGGGGGGATAATGAGCTTTCAAAGAGTCTTCACCCACACAAATGTGAAACAGGCATAGTCTGAAAGCGGTCCAGGATACAATCAACAGATGCTAAAAGGAAAAAAAAAAGGAATACACAGTCATAGCATGGCCAGATGCCACAGGCTGAACGGCTGCCACTGAGGGAATTGTACATACGCCAGCTGCGAAGCTGCTGTCTGCTTGACCTGCTGTGCCCTTTGCTTCAGTCCTTCCTTTGACAAAGATGAAATGCGGGCATCCCCTTCTGGAGGAACATATGCATCAAAGATCCCAGCTGTACAGACAAAACAGGAAGCAAGCAGTTATAGCAAAAGACTATTGTTAAATAAAATCCTCTCAGCAAAAAGAGCCCAGACATGTAAGATATATGAACAACTGGAAGAGCTAATTAAGGTGCACATCATTGTTTATTTACCTGTGAAAGAATATTAATTAATGGGTGAATCCCGGCAACTGTGGTCATATAGTCCACTTTAAAGTAAGTAGCAAAGCAGGCTGGCATTTCAAACAAGTAATGTAGTGTCAGAGAGACAATGCAGGTAAATGGAGCACGTTTTCAAGAATGCTTCACTGAAAGAAATGCATCTCGAAGAGAGATCTGTACAATCCAGTGGATTTAGGCTTCGGAAATCCAGATTCTAATTTTTATGTACTTGGTGAATAAACCTCATGTATATCCCCATATCTCTATTACTACTCTGGAAATATTTTATACTGATGGCATAAAAAATACAAAAACATCTGCCTGCATTCATAAGATGGGAACACATAGCAGCATTCCTGAGAGGGTTACCATGCAGGGCAACACAACCAAGATCCTAAGAGGTCTTGCATGTTTACAAAAGTTCCAATACCCCAGCCCCCAGTGTGGCAGACTGAACAATGCTGGGATTTGTAGGACTTTTGTTTTTTCTGCCTAAACATGCATTGGATAGTCCCCTAAAGCACTCTGCCTATAAGAAGTTCTACCTAGATAATATAGTGCAGAACAGCCTTCTCCAACCTGGTGCCTTCCAGACATGTTTGAACTGCAATACCCAGAACTCCCAGTCAATAGTCCTGCTGAATGGGAATGCAGGGAGTTGCAGTCCAAATGACTCTGAAGGCCACCAGATTGGCCAAGACTGCTATAGAGGGAGCATGAGGCTGTAGGAATGGTATGACATATAGAGAGACAAGACTTGAGAGGGAAAAAACCTCCAAAAGATGCCAAAAGCGAACATGTTTTTCCAGTGTAGCAGGAATAGGAAAGGGAATGCCAAAAGATACAACTACTTCATGCAAGCATCCCTACTGCTGTTCAAGATCTAACAACAGGTCCTGGGGATTGACCTACACCTGCGGCAAATGGGGTGACAAGAGTCTGCAGATGTATCTCTTCCAACTATAACTGGGACATATCCAGCTATATTTTTACAAATCCTCACAAGTAGAAGAGCAGCACCATAGAGATATTGGACCAGAGCTTCTTGCAGTTAAGCTAGGCTTACTGTTATTTTAATTATAAGGAGATTTTAACATGCTGACATCTTTACCCTGCCTGGTATGCCCTGGTCTGTATCCTGAAACAGAACAGTTCACTTTATCGACTCAGGATCCTACCATCTAATTTTGCCGCATACATGTGTAAAAAGATTCCATTGAAAGCATTGTATTTGTAACAAATGGGGCCTGGAACACAAGTTGTAGTTCCACCACCAGTTCATGATGTGGGCATGAACTGACAGAGAGCAAAAGTGGGCAACAAGAGCCTTTACAACTGTCAAAAACAAAAAACCCCTCAGACTTCAGGCTTGGAAGGATGAAGACTCACAACTTATCATTCATTGGACTGAAGATTTTACAGCTCTTACTACATTTGAATGCATATCCGACAGCTATTAATCACATATAGATGATTATTTAAATAGACTTATATTAACGCATTTATTTGAAATTGAAGAGTCAAACTCCAATTCTGGACACTTTTCTCTTTATTAATGGTGTAGTTAATGATTGTATATGGATTTGTTTTACATTATGTCCTTCCTCCATCTTTTTCTTTTTCCTTTCCTTTCCTTTTCTGGCCCTATTATATTGATGGATAAAATTGAAAAGAAGGCTGCTTCTATTTCAGATTCCATCCAGCTTGTAACTGGAAATCTGTAGCGCTGTAGAAACCTCTCCGGGAAGCATGCAAGAAAGTGTGTGCATTCAGATGAGAGGTAATGATAACTGGAGAAATAATCACTGCATAAAGCAGAAGATCTCCCACAACCTGCCCCTGTCCACATTTCCAGAATATTTGTGATTAATCAGCCTGCTCCCTGATAGTTATCTCTATTTCCTGTCCTCCATTTGGGAACAGGGAGTTATTTTCAACTGACAGATTGCCACTCTGGACCTAAACTAGAGAACTGACAGAATTCATCTATCTTTCATTCTTCTCCTTTAGTTCTGGTCAAACAGCTGCAGAAGCACTTGCTTTTCAAGATATTCTTTTAATTTACAAATGCCCAAGGTGTTGGCTTCAGATTTAGTAAAAACTAAATCACAGAATAATAGAGTTAGAAAGGGCCAGAACACCATAGTGTCTAACCTGCTGCTCAGTGGAGGGCTCCAGGTTAAACATCTCTTTCAGATGGCTGTCTAGCTACATTTTTAATAACTCTAGTGTAGGAGAGTGCACAACCTCCCTAGGGCATTGGTTCCATTGTTGTATTGCTCCAACATCCTCATCTTCAGATAGTATCTGGCTTTCTGTAACTTGAGTCTGTTATTCCATGCCTAGTACTCTGGGATGACTGAGAAGACATCTTGGCATCTATGTGTCAACCTTTCAAGTACTTCTAGGGTGCTATTCAGTCTTCTCTTCTCAAAGCTAAACATGCCCAGTTCATTCAATCTCTCCTCATAAGGCTTTGTTTCCAGTCCCGGGATCATCCTTGTTGCCTCCTCTGATCCCTTTCCAGCTTTGTCTGCACCTTTCTTAAACTGTGGTGCCCAGACTGGACACAGTACTCCAGATGAGGTCTAACCAGTGCTGAGTAAAGGGGAACTAGTTCTTCACATGATCTGGAAGTGATACTTCCATTATTACTTAAAGTAGTATTCCTATCGATTTAAATTACTTCAAGTAAGACTCAAACAGTATCTAGACCCATACTTCTGCCTAACTAGAGTCCTGCAGGTATTTCGGATGGTCCCGTTTCACCTACAAACTGTTTGGCATTCAACCACCCAAGTTTTCTATTAGACAGAATGATGACTCAGCCACAGGGACACATCATCACCTGATGTCACAGTGATCAAATAAACCGCAGAGGTGTGGAGCAACAGCAGCTTTGAATGTATAAAAAAGTATTACAGAAATATGTTAAAGAAATAAAACCAACATACAATGAAGTGAAAGAAAAAAGGGTCCTTATGAATACTACATCGCACATTGCGAGAATACTTCCATTCAAGCAGAAGTCACACACTGGACACAAAAGATACAATTAAAGCACTTCATTCACTTTTAAAAATCACCAGAAAGAATGGCTACTCTATACTGAAGATGACTGTCAAAGGAGCTATGTACAAATAGTCAGCGTCCATTTTGTTTTGGGGTTCACCAGTCTCTTCTATGAGATTAACCTCCTTGATACATAAAAAATGATTACAGTCACCTACCTGTGCAGAGAAGAGTTATGGGGCGTTCTAAACGTTCATGGGGTATCACAATTCCTGCTGCCCGGGCATGCCTTTGCTGTTCTTCTGGAGTAGAATACTTTGCATTGACTGAAGGGGGAATGAAATGCCGCCTTTTTGTTCTCACAGGGACCACAACAGAGGTTGGGGCCAACCGAGCAGAATTCAGTAAACATTCCACACCCTGCTGAACAAAAACAAAAGCCAATATTTGATCATACCACAGTTGATCAATTATTTATCTGCTTCTTAGGTCAAGTCCTAACTACACACACTTGACCAGTAAGCTCTACTATTAGTTATGCATTCATACATATTTGTTTTGTAAATTGTTTATTTACACACACACAAGACCAAGAAATGGATTCACTTCCTAATTAAAATATACAGAATCATGTGGTTTCTTGTTTGTCTTTACATCAAGGTTAGAAAGTTCTGTCACCCATTAAATGTATTTACTTTTCAAAACATGTGTACACATATGTATTTCTGTTTGCCAAGGAAAGAGAGACATACAGAGAATGAAAAGCCTTCTCATAGTAAGGCTAAAGGCACCTGTGCACACAAGCTTCCCTTAATTTTGGGAAACTGCTAGTGACAAAAGACTCTTTCTTAATCCAAAAGGTTAAAAACAGACATACATTCAAATACAAACATATTTGCTTTTTTCACAACAGAAGAGAGAAAACCATGCCCTACCTAAAAGCCTCTTCCAAAAAATTAAGCATATCCTAATAATTATAGCATACAAAACTGCAGCCCATGCATGCGTATACCTAGACTTGTGGGCCAAATACAGCCTTTGTGGGGCACAAACAATTGCTAAGGGGTTCCTAAGATACCTGTGCCCCCTTCTTTTAGCCCACCCCTTCCCCCACAACCAGTGATCATGGTTTCTCAGGTATTGTGCTGTTTCTCCCCATTCTAAAAGGTTGAAATGCTTCTTTAATTACTGACATTAAGAGCTTTAAGCAAGCAAAGCTTTGAGACTCTGGAAATCCAGGCTGGAATCCCCATTAAACCATGAAGTTCATTGGACAACTCTGGGCCAGACACTAATTTTAAAGTAATTTACTTCACAGGGTGAGAAGAATAATTGTCTCTGGCTGCCTGGATAGAGAGATGGGATGCAAATATAACAAATCAACAATTTGCGAAAAGATGACATTTTTGCTTTTATTTTTGCCTCCTCAATTTGCTTTGGACCCTGCTTACCACTGGAATGTGGTCCTTCCCTCTACTCACAGTTTCTCAACACTCAACTGAGCCCACATACCAAAAGAGGCTTCCCTGCCTCAGCCCAAAGCAACAATGTGCACAAAAACAGCAGCAGGCACACACTATATTAATCATAGCCTCCAGCCTGGCAGGATTATATCTTTTGCAAAACAGACCAATTCAATAACTCCTTCTCATCTCAAAACCTTCATACAAATTGTCAAACGCAAGAACACAGATATTGCAATCCCACATTGTGCAAAGCCTTATACAGAAATACAGTGCTCGCTCGCTCGCTCGCTCTCTCTCTCACACACACACACACTATCCTTCATTCCTATCTTCAGAAATCCAACGCTTGTTTGTCTTCTGCTTTTAGAATGCAATCTATGCATATTTAGACAGAAATAAGACCAACAATTTCTTGCATTCCCCCGATCTACGTGACTGTCTGGGGCAGGCTGGGACCTTTAGGACTTTCCCCTCTATCTAAATATGTGTAGGGTTGCAACTTAGAGAACAATCTTAGCTATGTCTACTTAGAAGTAAGTTTCACTGAGCCCCATGAACTTTACTCCAGGTAAGAAACATGGGTGCCTTAATTTCAGGTCTACTTACTTTCCTCTCTGTTCTATCGATTGGAGTACAGAGAAAATTGGATAGTTTCTGTTCCTAAAGATTAGCCGTCGTCTACGAAATTAAGAATTAACCTTTCTTCAAGCCTCACAGACAAAAACAATGAATGGAAACTCAGATGCACCTATCGAGAGATGCTTATTAATAAATCATAAGACCTGCAACATTTTTAGCCTCTAGGCAACCCACATCCCGAAAGAAAATAATAACGTCATCACCACTGCCTCAACCCCACTCATCTCCCCAGTACCTGCAAGCAAGCGCGTAAGGGCAGCTTAACTATTCCCGGCCTCATGGACACCGCCATCTTGCGACTCGCGCGCTGCCTGCCGGGAAGGGGGCGGGGCGAGTGGTGGAAAATTCCAGCGCCTCGAAGAGTTCCAAGAAAGTGTCGACGTTTTGTTCCACAGCCTAAAAAGTAGTGGAAGAAGCGCGGACGTGCGTATGGTATCGTAAAGCTCTCCAAGGCAGAGATAAGATAGTGGCACGGGAAAAAAAACCCAAACCAAACCTTTTAGTGCTCTAAATAATCCACGTGCTCGTATCCCTCAGTTTTAAAGACTAGACAAAACAAGCTTGCGATTTTGAGATTTTGCCTTTTCTAACTGTTGTGTGTATTGGCAATCGCTCCTCAGTGCGGGCAAAAAAGTAATGCATAAAAGCAGGAGCGAGGAACACTGTCTTGGCATTTGTAGGTTGCATTTAGCTGTCTTGCCTAGAAATTGTTAATCATAGGGCAAATAGCCATCATAGAATAGTAGAATTGAAAGGGGCCATGAAGGCCATCGTGTCCAACCCCCTGCTGTTGCAGGACACCAAGTTACACCATCCCACACCTAAATTTATTTGATCCTTTTGAAATACGCATGTCTAACTGCCACATCTTAGGGCCTTACAGTTCATAAGTTAATTATGAGTTGTTCTAATTATGACCCTGTTTCCAGGCAGCTGAATTAGATGACTCTGAAGGCTTTTATTACTGAAGAAGAAAAAGTCCACTTTTCCACCCCATGGATAGCTGCATAAACCTCTATCCTTCTTCCAAATGGATAAGTCTCAAGTGTTTTATCTTTTCCTTATCAGCATGGTGCTCAACTTCCTAATAATTTTAGTCCTTGGTTAACTTTAGTTGCAGTTTTCTGAACTTCATGTAGTTCTGCAATATATCCTTTTGTGGTTGGATCAAGGTAACCGAAACTATTGAATATGCATCACTCCAAAATAAGATCACACCAGACTTACAAACTTTTCCTGACACGTGCAGCAGCACCCACCACAGTTCTTTAGACCTCTAGAAAAGCAAAAAACACAATAAATCTTAGAGTAAGCCACTCTCCATAGCGCCATAAAACCTTAGAGCAGAGACAGAAAATAGACTTTTTTGGCCCACTAGGCAGGAACATCAGGACTGCCAGGGTCCCTGGTCCACCTGAAAGCTTGTGGGTTTTCTCTGGTATGTTCTCCCAGCTGGAGGCTTTGGCCAGATGCCAAATTATATCAGATGGCACTACACAGCAGTATTCAGTCTGCAGAGAGCTGGAAGCGTGGGTGTTGTCTGACTTTACAGAAGTTATATGTTTGGCTTGGAAACCCTGCTCCATAATTCATCATAACTTTATGGGGATGGAATCCCAAATCTTTCATTTGGAGGCCTGGATTTGTGGGAGGCCTTTTACCTCACCACCCTGTTGTCCATGGGCACTTGCTGAAATAAAGGTACAAGTACTCTGGTTTTCTCTGTTGCATCAGATCCCACTAGATTGGCTGGCTTTTCACCCAGCTTCTGCTGTCCTGTTTGAACTTTTCAGTCTGAGATTGTTTTCTGAAATCAAATGCTTTCCTCTCACCTGTTCATACATCCCCTTTTACAAATAGGGATGTCCTCAGCAGACAAGGTATTTTGAAGGCACACACATAAAGAGAATGAAGAGATATGTTAATTAGCATATCCAAATTTGTGCATGGGGGGAGGCTTTGGACCTGAGCTCTGCATCTTTTCAGCATCTAACACTAAAAGTCAAGGGTGTCAGAAAATGCTCTGTAGCAACAGTGTGCCACCTCTCATTGTATGACGTGTATGACCTTGGTGTTCATACAATATTGCTTGTGAAAGAAAAATCCCCTTTGAATATTAAAAATCAATAATGAATTTGATCAGGTATAGAGAAGGGCATTCTACACATAATCAAAAGCACAGTTCTCACCAGTCAGTCTGCAGTACAGAAACATAATTCTTTGGCACTTAAATAAACAATGTCCAGAAGTAGCTGGGTAAAAGAAGTCTTGTTGCAGAAGGACCGGTGTAACAACCAGCGGAAAGCATATATGACTTATAAGGTACAATCCTATGCACGTTTAGATTGAAAAAAAGCCTGCTGGGAGTAGGACTTTTTTGGTCTAATGCATAGGATTGCATCCTAGCATGTATAAAATGTGTTCATGCAGCATGTTTGATCGTTTCAAAAAGCATATTACTTAGCACCATCAACTGACGCACTATGATGAAGCTAATACCTAAATGCCTCACTAGGGGGTGCAAAAATATAACTCTGAGGATTTCCTTTGAGGATTGGAACTAAAAATCTCAGAGGGGTAAGCAAGAGGAATCCTTCTTTCTCTGTAAGTGACAGAAATTAAGAAACCTGTGAGGTTTCAGGAGCAATTTGTAGGACTGAAGGTTATATTAGACAGAAGCAAGGAGCAGAACAGGGTGGCTTTAGACCAGGATGCTTCTGTTTAGATCATGGTTTCTTTCCTGATTGTATAGTTTCAAAAGCTTAAACGGTTGATTAAGTGGTTTTATGTAGTTTTTATTGGTTTAAAAGAAGCATTTGTTTGAATACCTCATGGATGTCTGTGATCCTGACAACTGTCCTTAGGTGTTGATGACAACCTTTTGAACCATATAGAAAGTTTCTATGCAGATGCAACTTTGAAAGTAATGGTATAATAGCCTCTTCTGCTTTTCAGTTTGTATTTGAATATTATAGTAGCCTTTTTTTTACAGGTGATCCTTTCTTCCCTGTAAAGGTGGGAAACTGCCAATACTCTATTCTGTTATATGTGGGTGATACAGTATTACTTTCTCAGATTAAAAAGTGGCCTAGACAGATGGATAGCTAGGACAATTCTGCAAGTGCTGCCATATTGATCATTGGAGTATAAATTCTGATGAAACAAAAAATATGGTGAGCTTGAAGCAAGTGGAGGCTACTGTTCTCCTCCTGGTTTTTACCACTGCCCACTGTTTTAGAAAAACAGCCTTGTTTGTAACTTTCCTCATGACAGTGCAGTGCAGTGATAGATTCTGAAGTACAGGAACTCATCATGACACTCCTATAACCATCATTTCCAAGGATAATTCCAAAATTCAGGCAGCTGTGTGGTTTCATAGCAACAAACTAGTTCTAGCAATTTCCATCTGGAGAAGGGACAGGTCTTTTCCAAAGTGAATGGGTCATCAGTGCCCATTCAGGACCAAGCCACTGCAAAATACTGGGTAGTATGACAGAAGACAATATACTGTCTCTTGGGAAATAAATTCATTTCTAGCTACTGTAAGGACTGCAGCTAAGCTCAGAAGGAATTTAGAAACAGGAAACAGAGCCACATGGCCTCCACCACACACATTTCTTAGAGTATCTTCCTCCCTTCCACAAAGGTTAAATAGCTCTCATTGTAAAGCAATAGGGGAAGGAACAGGGACATATTTGCTATTCTTGTGCTCTGTATGAGTTTGCTCCTTTAGCCAACCTAGCTACCAACCTCTGGACATTATTTTAATCTCTTTTATTTTTCTGTAATTACCTGTCTTGCACTTTTGGAATAGGGTGGGTCTGGCATAAGTTTAAATGAAGAAATCAATCTAACTTGTACTATGGACTTCCTTGATGGCCACAGACAAAGTCCATAATTTCATTATGTGCAAAACAGAAACACTATTTACCTAGCAGATGGGTTTTAAACTGTGATATGGGGAAACCTGACATTCCTCAATGAAAAGGTCAATCATTGATTCACTAAACAATTTGCCCACTATTGATTTTCCCAAACCATTGCCGTGAGGGAGTATTAGATGTGTCCAGGGCATACTTGCTGTTCATGTTGAACAACTACAAAGCCCAAAAGCCAGACCATAGCTCTGTATGAACTGTGTACATTAGGATACCCAGAATCCTCTGAAATGCATGGTTATTCCACAACAGTCAAATCAATGTGAAAAGCCATAGCTCAGTGGCAGAACACATGCAGATGCACGTGACATATCCCAGGTTCAATCCCTGGCATCTGTGGATAGATCTGTAAAATCTTCCTCTCTGAAACTGGAAAGCCACTGCCAGTCAGTGTAGACAATATAGAATTGCCTAGAGTCAACCAATGCCCTGCCCTAGTGCAAGGGAACATCTTATGAAAGGGTTTCCCAAAAATAAATGGGCTTGCGAACCATAGGTAACCTTATACAGATGTTGAGAAAATTGGACTGTAATGCTAAGCATGCATTCTTGCAAGTAAATCCTACTGAAGGCTTCAGTTTCATGACTAGAAGCAAGGTTCTAATGGGACCTGCTCTGAATGGTAGATATTGATTGGGTTTTCCACTTAAATGAATAGATTCAATAGATGCTGAATACCTTCATGTTTTGCCACAGCTGGGTTCCAAAGTCCACATTCCCCTGTCATCTCTCCAGTCCAGGCCCCTTCCTCTCTTGATTAAGTGAGGAATGACAAGGTTTTTCAGCGGAGTGCAAATGTCACGTTTCACATGCCTCTCTCCCCAAATCATAATAAAGCCATTGAGTGTTTGCACTCAGGCTGGTGTCCTAAACTGACGCTATCATGCCTAATGTTTCCTGGCAGGTTTGTGGAGGCAGGGGTGTAGCAAGTGAAGAATAACAGCATAGATCCTGGGACATGGAGAACTAACCTCTTGCCTTGGCCAAGCATGTTCTGTTCTGGTAACTTGGCTGTCTGCTTGATCCTTGCATGTGCCTTGTGTGTGTTACCGGAGTGGTATACAGCTTGGCAATGCCTTTCTATTTATACAGACCTCAACAGTCACCATATAAACTGCAGTTCCTTTTTTCCTTTATTCATCTATTCATTCATTTATTCACTTGCTGCTGCTGCTGATTATTATTATTACTCAGTTGTTCATTAAGTTATGTCTTTCAGGGCAATAGAGACTAAAATGGCCATACCAGCAGTAAAGTATTCATGTTTTGAACCAATGTCTCTGGCTTCCTTGGGATTCTGTGGTCAGCCAGGGACTATATCCCCTGAGGTGTACCTTGAAGATGTAGTCCATCCCTTTCGAAACTTAAGTGTA